ACTTTTCTACCAAAACCACCAAGAAGGACACTGATGTTTGAAACCCTCAAGCTTTGGCTGGGCGAGCCACCGAGCTATGGGTCCGAAGTCCGTGGCCTCCAGGGTCTCCGCAGTGCGGCTGAGGAGGTGTTTGAAGAGGACCGTCACCGCCGCGGCCGCGGGGAACTTCCGGAGGAAGGTGGACACTGCCTCGAAACTTGGCCCATGGATTTGTTCTTTGAGGACCATTGTAGGCCCTGAAACTGGTATGTGGGATTCCGCGGGTGTCACCCCCTGCTGCTAATCTTTTTTCTTCTTTCTTTTTTTGAGGACATGTGGGAGGACGCGGTTGGTAAGATCTTTGACTCCATGGGTATGTGGGATTTGTGTGATTTCGTAAGGCTACCATGGTGGTCCTGAAAACATGGGGATTCTGCGGGGTGTCCCTGTGATCCTCCAAGAACTAGACTTTTCTCAACACGGTGGACCCCCTTTTCGGTCGGTATTTGAAGGGAACCAAAGGATACCCTTGCCATGGCATGCCCGACCTGCCGATTGATGGTCCGCAAGCTTTTCACCGGAGCTTTCATTTGAATCGACAATAGAACCTCTGGTTCCTTTTGAGAAGTCCCACCCCTCTTGTGCGGGAAACATCGAGGCCAGTCGAAATGGAGATGGGGGTTGCTCACCAGGTCCTGACCATTGAGGACACCACCAAACAAAAAATGACGTTGGCCAAGTGGGACAAGGTACGGTCCGGGGAAAACGGTGTGGCCGGCTGAGTAGGGATTGGTGACAAGCACTGCGGCCAGGAACCATCGGGGCATGAGTCAGGAGTGTTCGGATGGACGAAATCTTGCGTCACCTAAGAAACCAGGGCTTCTGATTCGATTCCCCCAACGTAAATAGCAACCAACGTTCTGGTTTCATGCCCATGGTTTCATTTCGCGATGGCGACATGGAACAAAACACACACAACCTAACTTGCTTTTCTTCTTCCACCTGGAGCACCCTTCGTTACCTAAATTTCTGCCCTTGGCCCAAACGTATTGCAAAACCAGGGGTCGTCAGCAAAATTTGGTAAACGTACACTTTTTCCTGCTTCGAGCGTTTTTCCAAAAACCGGATGGAAGAAGGGGATTTGGTCGAGCGTTTTTTGGGGGGCGAGCTTTTTTTTTGGGGTCGAGCAGAATTCGAGCGGTTTTTTCTCGTACCTAAAAAAAAGGGCACGTTGGGTGCCTCAGGCATTTTAGACCCCTGGAAAAAATAAAACTATTTCCAGTACTGTAGCGATAAGTTCCCTTAAAAACTAACAGGGGAACATAACACATATTCTTGAGCAAATGGAAGTCTTTGGAGGGGGCGGGGGTGCTACCCGGGACCCGGTGGGCCGCCCCGTGAACGTGCGGGGTGCTCGGCTCTCGCCTTGCTCTGGCCCTCGGCGAGTTGAGACGCCGCCACCATGGCCTCGGATCGAAGGGTCCGGTAAACATGGGATGGCCGTTGCTCGGAGACCACCAAGAGTTAACTTGTTTCCCACGTAAAAGTTAGCATGGTCATTTTGTCATGGGGCCGAACGGAATATTGATCAACCCTCAAATGGCCTACCCAAAACCATGCCCATCTATGGCAAGGGGATTTTTCCTAACCTTCATCTTCAAGCGTCCTCAAGGAGAAAGCAGCATCTTTCCAGAGAATTACTTTTGGTAGAAGTTCAAAAGGTTGGACCTGGACGAAACAGGGAGGGATCTGGTTGAGTTCAAAACGGTTTGGGTTGGTTTTCCAATCCAATTGCCCACATCCCCATTGGGATTTCCCATTGCAACAGAGAAGAATCGAATCGTTTGATACCCCAAGAAGCTGTTTGAACCACCCCAAAAGGGGTCCCTCGGCCAACACCTGGGGTGCGCAGAAAATAACAAGTGCTGACTCTCTGTTCTGTATTTAATTATTAGGTCTACCCGAAATATTGCAAATTAAATCTTTTTGTAGCCCAGGTTCATGCCAACTATGTGTTCAACTAGATTTGAAACTCTCAGGTCAAACTGCAAATCCTGGGGGCGCCTGTCATTGAGGCTTCCCCTTCAAGTAGCCTATGAAGTGTTTCACCAAACCCTGAACTCAAACCTCAAATTCAGTCCGTCACGCGCTTCCCCGCAGATGAGGATTCTTAGGAATCGCCCCGACAAAGGCCGTCCCAAAGTCTAGGTTTTGGCCCATCCCGAATAAAGCGGTAGGTGGATTGCAAAACCATTTGGTCGCTGGAAAAGGACACCGAAAGAAGCAAATAGCGCTTTTATATCCTTTTGGTTTGGTTGTCGTCTGGAGGTTCGGAGCAGGCCTTTGAATTTTGAATGCAGGCGGCACTTTGCCCGCAAAACGGGAGCGCCCCTTCCAACAGGAAATGCTTGCAACCCTCTTAAAGTTCTCTTTGACTCTTTCTGGGGGCTGCGGAAGAATCCCTCAGGCGCCCTCGTACCCCTTTCTTCCTGAGGCGCTCGTTCCGTCCAGTCCGCGGTCTCTACCTACCGCGGTCGGACGCGCGGCGGCAGCGACTCTGACGCCTTTTTGGGAGACATAATTACAGGCGTCCACCGACCCGAGCCAGCCAACACCAGGGTTGCTCCAACGACCCGCTTGGCGCAGCAGCGATTTAAGGCCCCAAGTCTCTGCCCTGGTTGGGCCCCAAACCCCCGCTGAGTTGACTGGCCAGCTTGGGCCAAAGAACAAGCCGAAGCTTTTGGGCCTGGACTTACATGAGGAAGACACCTGCGACCCAGAGGCCCGCGATTGATTTAGGGCCCTCAACCATCCAGGTTTTGAGACCCCCATACACCTCCGGCGTGTCCAATGGAGGGTCTGGGTCTTCTATTGAAAGCCCCAGGAGCCTCTGGGCAAAGAAACAAACTTAAAGTTCGCCAACTCAGCAAGTAAGATCATCTTGTAAGGGCTCGGAGCAGCCGAATCGGTGGGCTCGCTATGATTCATGTGAACACCTTCTGCATTGCATAGCCAAACTCCTGTAATCCTAAGCCCGCTGCAATCTGTCATAGAACCACCCAAACCCAAGCAGGTTGTTCTAAAGACCCGATGGGCACAAGGGTAGAAACGAGAGACTTCAAAGCCAGTGTGCCACAGTCAAGACTCCTTACCGTGTGTTGGCAACCAAATTTAAGATTTGATTCTGCATTCAACTTTGCTTTTGCATGCTATCGACTTTGCTTCTTCTGCAGCCCCCCTCCCACCAAAACGACATAGTTGGAACCAAACAGCAAACATAAACCCCACCATGTTTACCAAGAATGGTGTTCCCAAAACATTGCCCAATTCGACATTGAGGCTTTGTGCCGATTCATTGGAATACAGCTAGGGGGTGTTGTGCCTATTCACTCGCAAAGAACAGCGCAAGCTTGTGGTTGTGAACACATGTCCAGGACCCTTCCCTTTTCTCGGCCCACAAAAAGAATGGGTTACTCTGCTGCATACTCGGTCCTCCAGTAGAGAGGTTAGAATAAGGGTACCCTTTTTCAGTAGTCTATTTTAGTAGGGGAACAACAAAAAAGGGGTAAAAGGGCACCTAGCTGGGGGACCTAGCATCCGCCCACGCTATGTATAAAATCTTCTGAGACGGGCGCTAAGCCCGACCCGAACGATGACACGCCGGCGGACGGCGGCCAACTTCCGGTGCTCGTCCCCCACAAAGAAGGCACCCCAAATCCACCCGATTAGCCTCAAACAAAAGGCCTTCGTCGCGTTCTTCGCTTTATGGGGGAATTGGGCGCAAGATTCCCAGCTAAAAGTTTTACTTTAGTGCGTCACATTCGGACACCCAGCCACCCTTCACCAACTAGAAAGACCTAAAAAGCCAGGTTGAACCGGATTCCGCTGTGGAATTCAACCAAGAAGTGGCTCCTTGCCCCCTTTGGTGAAAAACACCACAACCAAGCAATTGTTTCCAGCCCCAAAACCCCGCTGTGGCTCCTTGCCTTGTTTGGGCAAACCAACCTAGGTTGAGCGGGATTCCGCTGGGAACCTACCCAAAAACTGGCTTCTTTGCCCCCCTTGGGCGGGACCACGCCGACCCCGCCGCGCCGAAACTTCTTTCGAGCCCCGAACGCCCCCCCGCGCCCTTTGGCGCGCTCGCGCGGAGCGCGCAGGCGCCTGGGCGCGCTTCAGCTGGCCCCGCAGCTCCGAGGCCTCTGACTGCAGGGCCTCGGCTCGAAGCGGATCGGCCAAGGGCGGTCTGGGCCGGGAGGGGACAGTACGGCTGCGGCAGCAAAGACGTGGCTCCTGGAGTTGTTTGGGCCAATTTGGATGGGTGTTTTGTGGAGCTGCGGGGATTTTTTGGTGCGAAACTTGGGAGTCTGGCGGAGTTGTGGAACATTTAGATGGGCGCGAGGAGCTGAAATGGACGAGTCCCACACGAAATTCATAACCTACCCAAAGGGAGGGGAAAACAGGTATGAAAAGAACCAGGCGGCATTTTGAAGGGAAACCTACACAAAGAAGAGAATTCACACAGTTTTTGTTCAAGGAACACATGAGGGTTGTTCTTGTAAATGTCTTCTCGTGGTCAGCTTCAGTTTTTGGTCCCCCCCCCCGGTGCTGATAGCACCGATCTTTGTTGAAATGGGACTCAGACTTCTGCTGGTGATTCTGGGACTTGGGAGCTTCGGGGCCAAGTAAACCGTGAGAGGAGCTTCCGACCAAACGGCTGCATCGCTTCTGCGCTGCTCGGGCTTCCCGTTGAGACCCGTGCCACCCGAGGTTTTGCGCGTGGGAACATGTCAGATATCGAATCAAACTCACCTCCTATGGGTTTAAAGGTGATTCCAACGTAACTGCCAACAAACGTTACGGTTTCAACCATGGATTCCAAGTGGTGCGAAATGGATTTTGTCCATCCACAGTAGAACACCTGCGACAGGGTTTCGATCGGTTTCTGCCGATCGCGCCTCCACCTCGTTGTGCAGGGACTCCACCTCAAGCTCCGAAGAGATGGCCCACTGCAGTTGTCTGAGGGAGTCACTCTTTTCCATTCCTTTCAACTTCAATTTGCTTAAGCCCCGGAACAAAAATATATGTCCGGCGATAGATTTTCTGGGAAACCAACAAGGGACAAGGGCAACAAAAACATATTCTCCAGCAAATGAACGTCAAGCATGGTTCTTTGCAAAAAAAAGAGCAACAACACGTCAACCATGGTTCTGTGCAAAGAAAACACCGTCAACCATGGTTCTTTGCCAACAAAAAACAACAACCATGGTTCTTTGCACACAAAAAAGAAACAACAAAAACAACGGCTGCTTCCCATGCTTTGTTGGCGGTTTTCCAAGGAGGAATCCCACTTCAGTGGCCTCCTTCCGCGACTATGGGGTCGATTCGATGGCTCTGATCATTTTCCGCGCCTTTCAACCCGAATTCTTTTCGGACACCGGCTGCTTTTCCCTGGTCTTCGTTCTTTTTCTTGACCCATTCGGCAGAATAGGGGACCCACTTCTTTGGGTTGAGTTCCTTTTAGCGGACCCACCAAAGAAGAAGGGATTTAGAGGGCGCTGCCAAAGGGAACACCATCATGTTTGGCGGGGCCCCCTATTTTGACATGTCCCATCCAATCCGCGCTGGCAAGGATCAGGCATGCGTGGAACACATCCCGGTGAAACTGGCTTGCCCTGAACCTGAGGACCTGAGGACTGACGGAAACCACCTGGATGGTTCACTTTGGGGTCGTAACTCCTTCCAACTCAGAACAGCCATTTGTGGCGTAGAAAGTCCCCAGCTTCCCTGAGAAACCAGCAAGTGTCAGGGCTGCGGGAAATGACCACTGTGGTGCAACAAAAAAGGGCTTTTTCCGAATTTCTTTCGCACCCATAAGAGGGAGATTCCCTTGCACCACAGAAGTGGGGATAAACCCCTCTTGATCCCCCACATGAGTTTCAGGCTGAGTTTGATCCCAGCCACCCGATCCTGGTGACTCGCGGCCCCGGCCGTCTCTTGGGTACGCTTGGCCTACGAGAAAACCGACACGGCGCTGCCGATGCCCGATGCGTTCCGCGTGCCGACGCGTGGTTTCCCCCTGTTAAGTGACTCGAACAGTCGAGAAAGTTCTGGCTTGAGTTTGGTTAGCAAGCAACCCAACCTGCTTTGGGGCCGAGAAAGATTCAGAACGCTTCGATGCACGGCCCCAAGTTTTTCGCGAGGAGCCTTAGGTTTCCTCCCCAGTTTCCTCAAGCCATGGGGAGTGTAGGGTTCGATCCTTGGGTAAGCCTTGATGAATCGTAAAAAACCTTCATGAAATGAGGGGAATCCGTCATGCCATCCTCAAAGGAAAATGGTCTGAAAGGCAACCCTTGCATGACGTTTACAGGAACATGGATGAGTAGAAGGGTCCGAAAATTGCAGATGCCCCCCTCGCCATCCATATTGTACATATATATATATATATTTGTGTGGCAGCGTGTGCGGCATGTTCAGATCTTCTGGATTGATTTGTTTGTTCTGGTTCTTTTTTATGCCAAAGCCAAAGCACATGCTGTCAATAAATGCCATGGTCAAGTCTCCCTGTGTCAGTCGTGGTCATGGTGTCTTGGGAATCCTGATCATTGTTGTCTAAGGTTTAGTCACAGGCTCATGACCAGCCCTTTCAACCCGAGAAAAAAAAAACAGAAACAAAAAACAAAAAAACACTTTTTTGCTTTTATCATAGACACATTCGTCTTGAGTGATCCTTGAGTTCGAACAAATGGGTTCTAGGATTCTACACAAATGATGGTTGGTGCTGGACCCATTTCTTCGAACCCGCTTCGGGTCTGAATGTCTTGGCTTGGCTCCGTCAAGCCAAATAGAAACAGCACATTCGCCCATGCGACTGTGGACCCCTTAGCCCCCGCCTTTCCTCACCAAGAAATCGCCATCCTCACCAAGAAATCGCCATGATTATTCTATGCTGGGACTTCGCTTTTCAATCTGCAAAATAACTCCTACCGAAAAGCAGAAATGTCAGCTGCTTGAGAACTCTCGGGAGAAAGCTCTGCTCAGTATTGACCTCCTCGGTCGAAAAGTCTTTCGAACCAATCGCACCATTAAACGGGGGACCGTCCCTGATGCTCCGAGTGTTTCCCATGCTGTCTTCGGCTGCGTTTGGGTAGAGTCCAGTGGGTGCGTTCAAAAGGTCCTTCACTTTGCATGACCATAGAGAACACCACCAAAAAGATGACTTTCCCTCTAAATATATTTGAAGGGAACCCCATCCAAAACAAGGGGAAATGGGTCCTCTCCAAGTTCTCAACCGTGTAAACTGAAACCAAAGGACACAGTAGAAATTGGGTATAAACCTCTGGAAATGTGTGGTCATGGGTAGTTGATGTTAATTTACAACCATGTAAAAGGAAACCAATGGAAACTCCAAAAAAGGCTTATAAACTTAAATAAGTTCATGTTCATGGGTAGTTGATGTTAGCTTAACCCCCCTCTAAAGCAAGTTTAACAAATGGAAATTGGTCCTCTCCAAGCTTTCCACAACCGCGAGGTTTCTATAAACCTACTGACGCTGGCAACCTAAACAGGGATCCTTACATTATAATCTCTCCCCCTATTAATGAATGACCCCCATTAATAATAAATGGAAATCTGGGACCAGATTTCCACTCCGCACAATTGATTTTCCATTGCGCCAATACTAAACCAATACTAAAGTCTTGGAATCCTTATTAGGGGGCACTTCTACAAGCTGTCTAGCTGCGACTGTCTCTCTCCCGTACATGCTGGCTAATTAACCTGCCTGGCTGCAAACAAACAACCAGTAAACTGAAAAACAAATAGAATGATACATCAAATCTCCTTATTAAACCGCTTACTCGCGGACCTTACAATTCAATCCATTTCCTCCAATCCTATGTGAACCCTCACATTGTTGGAAAGGCAAAAAAACCAACCCCAAAAACCCCACTTTTTTTTTTTTTTTTTTTTTTTTTTTTTTAATAGATACATATATATATATATATATATATATATATATATTTGGGGGGATTTATTTATAATAGGGGGGGCCGTATTTATTAATAGGGGGAAGAATTACACCTGAATATTGCCTTGTAAATGGTGGTTTCCCTTTTCTTTGGTGGAAACAACCATGTTTCAACTGGTTGCAAAATATATCTTTTAAGGAGCCCTGCTAAACCCCACCGTCACGCGGACCCCCCCCCCCCCACTGCGACGGGGCTCGGGGCTCCTGCCTCCCCGAAGCGCTCGCAGAGCACGCCGCCCGCCTCGTCGTAGGCCTCCAAGGACCCCCCGCCCCCTTCGCCGAGCGCGGCTGGGCGCTGAAGGGTTCGGTGGCAAAAGTCTCTTTCCTGAGAACCGCTGTCAGGTAGTTGGCGCAGAAGAATTTCGTGGCCAGGGAGATTTGAGCCAAGCTTCTGAGCTAGAGTCAGATGCGCTGCCGTTGCGCCACCCCTTGACAACATCTTGCCCAACCACCAAAATTTCTAAGCGTTCTCCCAGGAACCCTGCGCAAGATTCCACATATGCTGGAATGGCTGGTCAAACGGAGGTGGCAGCAGGGCCGGCGGTGGCCGTTTTCGGCTTTTGGGCAGTGTGGTAAACATGTCTGGGCATGCCTTCGTTTGATAGAGGGCCCTCCCTGTTAGAAGTCATAGCCAGACCCCGTCCTTGGGAGGTCCTGTACTCGTCACATTCCGGTCAAATGCTCCAAAAAGGCTCTCTAAGACCCTTAGGGCGCACAGGTCCCGATTTGGTTTGGAGGCGGTGTAGTGTGTCTTGAGCTTGAAAAGGGGGTATCGGCTTTTGTGATTGGCGGATATGGTTGCACCTGAGAGCATGTGTACTGTCTGATCAAGCGAGTGCTAAAACTGGATGCGCTTTTTTCGCAGGGTACCGAGTGCGCTCATACATAGATTAGGGGGATGAGGAAGGCTCCGTTATGCGCCCGGCCTTTTGTAAGTCCGCGTAGCCGCGCCGCGCTGCGTCCAACTGCTCGCGGACGTCGTCGTAGTCCTGCGTGCCAGGACTAGGTCACCGTGTCCAAACCTTGAGCAGGGCCTACATGTTCTCGTTTTTAAGCAGCACCTCATAAAGAGAAAGCTCCTGTTTAGATAAAGCAAAACACGAGATTATCAGTTTGTTTATACATATACAGGCACCACTAGAGGTTGGAGCAAGGGCGCCCTTTGTTTGGTGGTTAATTTTCAATTGGGTTGGCAAGAACGCAGGGGCCAGGTTGACCTCTGAGCTAAGACACATGCTGTGGATGGTTTCGAAATTCAGAAATCGCACCACGAAATGAAACCATGGGAATGCAGCCATCACGTTGGTTGGTTACGTTGGGGAATCGAATCAGAAACCAGGGTTTCCGAACGGTGGTGCGAAATGGAGTTCGCAACCATCCACAGTTTCAAGCGCTCCTATCCCATCGATGGGTAGACAATTGGCACCCAAAACCACATCAACGTATATTTCTTAAAATATTCTTACAAGCTGCAGGAAACCCAGAGAAATTTCTCAAACAAATGTGCCAGGAGAATAGCATATATGCTCACGGGACTGCGTTCCAACAGCGCTCTTATCATTTTGCGGATACTTGATTTGGGTAAATAGGAGGCACCTAAAATGGGTATTTTCCTTTGGTGCCCCTTGAAACTAACCCTTTTAAGTACTTTTAAAAAAGGTACCCTCAAAAACACACCTTTTCTGAAAGGTGCTTAGCTCCAAAAAATGAACAAAGGAATTGCCCCACAGGTCTTGAAGTAGGTCTTTCCTTTGCTCGGAGTGCTAAATGGGTCCGGAAACAAACAACCCCATCCCCCTCTTGTTTCTCTCCGGGGAAGTAAACAAATGTGCTACGTATTTATAGAACCCAGTGTGGACAAAATTGTGGTTGTCCCCCTTGGTTTCCCTTCGGACCAACTCCAACAATGTAGCAAGCACACCATCAAAAAACCAACACACAAGCAACAAACAACCTGGCATCCAAAAGACGGCATGGTAGCCATGCTAATTCATCTCCCAAGACTTGTCATGGTTACTGACATGTCTGGGCACCTAAAGGACAACCATGTTTCATTTATAGCGCCCTGTTCCGTCCGCACCCAGTTTAGCACCCAGCTTAGCACCCAGTTACCTATTATTAGCACCCAGCTTGGGTTGAACCCGTTTCTTGCTCTCCACCCTACCACCCAGCCGCGGCGGCTCCGCTCCCACCGGCGAACCGCTGACCGGATCGATCGCCTTCTCCACGGCGGTGATGCGGGCCGTGAAGCGCTGCGCCTCCTGCGGTTTGGCGCTTTGCGCTTTTCCACCGGTGGGGGGGCGGTTGGCAGACCCCCAGTAAAAGAACCCGTGGGATCGTTTTCTGGTGTTCTGGTTTTTGTTTTAGGTACAGTGGGGCCTCTCTTGAGGCAACCCGAGGCCCAAAGTCACCAAGTAGGGCGAAGGTATTTGTACCTATCTTTGTCGTTGGTTGTACACTCCCAAAAAGAATGGCAAAAGGGTTCGCAACTCACCAACAATTGGTCTGGGTTGGGAATGGCTCCTAGCATCTCACGGACGGTTTGGGGCTTCGGCCAAATCAAGCTATCACGTGGGAACCATGATTACCAAAAGACTTACTCGACATTCCAGGATTTGCATTCAGCCCCAAACCCAGGATGTGAATCTTGCTCTATCATTGTCATCGTAGCAAAAGGAAACATGTTCGAAGCAAAGGGGAAAGATGTCTCAGATGCTACCAAAGGTTGAACCGGGAAAGGCACTTCAAAGTGGTCCAACATGTGATGTCTAAATCGGGGGTAAAAACAAAAACAACAACAACGATTTGTATTGGGAAGGCGGTTGTCCAAGCAACATCCCAACCACAGCGAGCAAGAACTAAATGTTCTTTGATGTAAGGGTAACTTGCCGGTTATAACCCACCTTGAAAAGACACACCAGCCACGGTGAAAGTTGGACACGGACGATTTAGCGAGGCCCTGGGTTTTGCCCCCTTCTCGTCCCCCCCAAGTGGTCCATACACCCAGCACAACATTTTGACCGGACCTCAAACGGGACTTCCCCCACTCCACCGCCGTCCACCCCAACCCAGTTGGTCAGTTGCCCTGGTCCAACAAGTAACCGGCACCCATGATGCGCCTGAGGCTAATTGCCCCAAGTCCACCCCCACCCCCCCGAAATCCCCCAAATCCACGTGTCCAATCTCCACCCTTCGCAACCTCCCCCGTCCCCCCCCCCCCTAGCCCCCCGTCCCCACGGCCCCACGTCCTGGCGCGCCGCCAGGGTCTGCTGCTCCGCCGCGCTGCAGCGCGCCTTCGCCTCCGCGCAGGCGGCGGCCCGGGCCTCCGAGGTCTTCACCACCTCGCTCGGAGGAAGCGTTCGTCGGACAAGGCGCGCGGTGGGCGGCGCGGTTTCGTGTTTTCTCGTCGGTTTTTTTTTTGGAGGGGGGGGGAGCACGGATGCCCCGTGCTTTTCTTTTGTTGGGAGCTTGGAAGGGAAACGAACAAGGGGAAAGCACACCTTGGGGTTTGACTCACATACCCGCTTTTTGCGCTTTTTTTGGGAGCTGGTAACCCTTTTCGGAGTAAAGGGACACCAAAAGGACACAGGCCAACATACTGGGGGTCGTCGTTGAATTTTTGGGAGCTGGACATCTTTTTTGAGGGCCGGATGTATTTTTTTGTTTCGCGCTCCCATACGCGCTCTTTCAACTTTCTTCTATTTGGTGGTTTGGAGCGCGGAGGTTAGGGAAGGGTTCCCTTTTGCCCTCCACAAGAACCAGGGGTTAAAATCCCAAACCACCAATCCAAACCCCCATTTAAGGGATACCTGATGCTTGCAAGGGACACCAAAAGGAAAATACGTTTTTGGGATTTGACTCACATGCGTATGTTGCTCACTTTTTTGGGAGCCTGCCAATGTGGATTTCCTGGCGGCGGTGAGATCAATGCCGAGTTAGATCAGGCTGTGAAGGGTAGCTCTTGTCGGTCTAAATCACTGCTGTTCTACCGGATGATTCCTTTTCCAATCTTTTCAACCGTCATTTTCTGTGAAGAAACAGCTGTTTTCTGGTTTCCCGGTGGCCTTCTGAAAAGCAAAACAGGTAAGGCACCTAAACTGGTCCACCCAGGAGTCCCTACTGTTGAAAACTCCTGATGACAAAATGCACTTTGGGCAGAGCCTGCTGGCCCAAATATGTGCTTCGATTTGTGTCCGCCTTATATTTCCACATCCAAGAAACCTGCGAACAAAGGGCCACACGGCAACAATGGTATCAAGCCAAGGCAACCTCCCACCCAAAGCTGGGAAGGGGTGCGGCCAAACCAAAAGGGCAACCCATGGAAACCTCGGCGAGCTGGTGCAACCCAAAAAGAAAAAGGTCCCCAAAAAGAACGGAGTTTGGTAGGAGTATCAGGACATATAGGCCTGAAACTCCCCAGAAGAGGTGTCATCCGATTCCATGTCGAAATTGTCGCAAAAAGGCCCCAGGAGGTCCTGGGGCTCCCGGGCCGAGGCCAGCTGGTCCTGCAAGGAGTTGCTCAAGATCCGGTTCTCGCTGGCGGACTGCGTGGCCTCGCTCTCCGTTTTTTTTTTTTCCGCTTCGGCTCGGTCCTCCAGTAGACCTGTTGGGTTCACTTTCCCTTTGCTTGGCCCACAAAGAGAATGGGTGATTCTCTGTTTCATAGGTGCTTCCAGTAGAGAGCTTAGAAGAAGTTGGTACCAACTTTTTTCTGTCTATTTTAGTAGGGGAACCGAATCTCCCCCCCAAAAAAGAAGCGGTCAAAGAAACGGCACCAATTGCTGAAGGACTCCGGAGCTTCAGAGTCGCAGACTTGGAATCCCCGGGGTGAAAGCGAGGGAACATCCACAAAACCAGCGGCGGAGTCCCGGCGGATGGGCCGGCGCTTGCAAGGAACCGGCTTTTCACCAATCAGTATCGGCGGTTGGCCCAAGGCAAGTCTTGACATGGAGGAAGTGAGTCATCTGCTGGGACCATGGGCTGTCACAGCACTTTGGTTCAAGCCTCACGGAAGCACCTGCTTGAGGTGCTAACCTAGCGTGTGGCTTCCTTTCGTTTTACACTCGCCAAGTCGGGTGTCACTCGAGCGCAAGTGGTTGATTACTTCTGCGTTTTTGTAAAGACCATTCTTCGTTTCCATTTTATTTCTCATTCAAGCCGACAAGTACTGTGCAAAACACATTCCTTCTTGCCCTTGGACCCAGACGTTTCTGGTCTGTGCATCCCGCTGCTTATTCATGAGCTAGGGGACGGGGCCGTATGTATATATATATATACACACATATATATATATATAATATTATCATCACGGAGGTTGCAACCAAAGGAGCATTCCCCCCCTACTTTCGCAAGTGTTCTGGCTCAAAAGGTGGTGCTTAAAGCCAGGAACAGCTGGGATTATCGGCAAACCTCAGGCAAGCTGAGAGTACGGAAATCGATTGTAAGGGAATCAGAACCATCCAATGACAATCGTTGACACAACATGATGGAAAACAAACAAGGCAACAAGTTAAGCTACCAGAAACAGCCTAACAGCCCCACGGCCCCGAAAAAAGAACACGTCGCTCTCACGGACGGCCAATCTGGCTTCAATGGCTCCCATGCAAGTTAGCTCAGCTTTCGAGGGTAGCCTTCTTTGGGGGCCTTTAGGAAAACTAAAATGAAACCACTGGTTGGAGGCTTCACCTATTTTGAAACCAACCCAAAGCGGTTGGTGGACGCCATTTCGGGTTGCCTATTAAGTTCACAGCCATAGGGGGCTGTGTTTCTTAAAGGTAATGTCTGTGATTAAAGGTTTCCCCTTTTGCCTTCCAGATTCCCACCAATAGTACTAAAGTAAAGGGCCAACAAATTTTGCCTAGAAAGCCCTACCCCGTTTGTTGGTCCTCCCCCAACCCCCTGATTGAAAGTACCCCCCCCCCCCCACCCCCCTGCAGCCCCCAAGGTAAAAACCAGCTTGCCAGAAAAGGGGCTTTCCTTTTTGCTTAGTATTCGCTAGTCTGCGCACCAATGCTCAGCCACTATTAGACTTCTCCCCAAACACGCGCTTCCCTCAAAATTGCGGATTTTTCTTGCTAAAGTTTGTTTGAAAAAGACAAGGTGTTCATAAAGGGGTCGCCCCTTCAGTGCCAGCCTCCCCCTCATTAACAGAAAGCTCCCCGCGATTAATCAGGGCAATTCTGGGCTCAACAAAAAAAGCCATATACAGTCCTATTGACCAGCAGGCCCTTCTTAAGGTCGACAAGGTTTGGACTGCCCCCAAAACTCAGATGTGTCTGATTGATTTGGAGCTCCTGTCCTTTTCTTTTTGCTTCTGGCCCCTTCACGGCCAATTGAACTGGAAAGGGACCCTTGGGCACTCTACCAAAACCCTTCACCCTCTTCTCAACCCAACAGTTCTTGAAATCGCCTGTTTTAGCGTCCCCATGCGTCCCCCCCTCTTTTGACACACAGCCTAGGTCAGCCAGCATGAAGCCACCGCAGCCGTCCCGCCCCGCCGACGCGGCCGGTTCGATCTTTCGATGCGACGCAACTCGCCTTCGCCAGCTGCGATCTCAAGGGCGCCAGCTGCGCCTCCTTCTCCGCCAGCCGGGCCTGCGGAGGTCGCCATGACTTCGAGTCGCTGAGACGAGGAGAGACCCGCCAAAAAAAGTCTGAACTTTTTATTTACTACTAAAATGGTCTTTCCAAAAAGTTTAAAGTCCATCAACTCAGGAAGTGAGTAAAAGGATTGACTCATGCTCCAGGCTCCCAAGAAAAAACTTTTGGGGGGGGTTCGTTCCCTTGGCCTGAACAACAAAAAAAGGGGGTCGGCCCGTAAGTACCTTCAGCAGAAACTCACCCGAACCGGGCGAAGAGGTGAGGTCTAAACCCACCCTTTGACAGACATATAGGGACCCCCGTACCCTTCCTCCCACAGAGCGAGATGTCTCCAGGAAGATCAGGAAAGACCTGTGGATCAAAAAACCTTCTTAGAGGACAACTGTGGGAGAAGCGCCATCTGGATGCTAAGTCAGTGGGAGGGAGGGCTTACCTTTCCAGGTTAGCTCACCCTCCAGGTGTTGAAACCATCCCTCTGAAGATGGACATGGGTGATGTTTTGAGGGTACCTCTTTTTGCTAGAACCAGGTTTTGCACGATGCCCCTTTTCAGCTTGCTTGGACATCGGCATCCGCGCTCGGCTTGTTGACGCCTCTCTTTGGCCGTTCTGAGTCCAATTGGCTCCGACGGATGCTTCTCAGCCGCCATGTCGCCGACTCAGGAAGTACTCAATGCTCCGCTCGGAGTTCCTCTTTGGAGCAAGCGTCGTCAAAAACACACCAAACCCTTTTTCCCCAGAACATCGACCCGGAAGATCCATGGAGCCGTCGCTGTCTCAAATTCACAGTGCCTGAAAAGGGGCGGCACTTCAAAGATCGGCCAGGGAAAACATAGGGCCAAAGATCAGGAAGAGATTCTACTGAACGGGTTTCAGCTTGTCAGTCGTGTGGGCATATGAAGGCTGAGTTTCTTCCTGAGGGGTTCTCGGTGTCTCCCAGCCCATTTGCAGGAATTCAGATTTTTTAGGCGCCGCAACTTGCTTAAAAATGCAGTCCGCACCATATTGGGCAGCACTTGGCCCGTCCGCTTTCAGGAGCTTTTGAGGCAACTCTACAAATTGACCGAACATGGGAAACTAAGAAGGTCAAAAGATCGGCCTTAAAATTGTTGAGTTGAAGGTCCAAGTGCAAAGGGTGGCGATGTTCGAAATGCGCCGCAGCGAGACGGCAGCAACTTCATGGCATGAGCATGTGAGCTCGCAGAAGTCAGGCCGCCAATTAGACTCGGTTTGGTTGGTTTGTTTGATTGGTTGGTTGGTTGGTTGGTTGGGTAGCGAACTGGCTGGCTGGCTGGCTCGTTCGATTGGTTGGTTGGCTGACTTGTTTGCTTGTTTGCTTGGCTGGCTGGTTGCAAAGCCATTTTCGACTCGGAACCCAACAAAATGGACTTGCCCTTTCCATCAACATGGGACCCCCCCCCGACTTGCCCAACGCCTCCAGCTGAAGGCGTCCCTCCTGGCCGGTCACCCTCGGTCGTGAACCTCCAATACGGATTGTCTATCCCTGGATGAGCTATTGGCCTCTGAGGGTGTAGCAGGTGCATTGGGGGCCTTCATTTTCTCGCTTTCAGGGGAATTCCTTGGCCAATCAATCACAGAACATGATGATTGGTTCCCAAAGCCTCATTCCCCATAATCATGGTGAAACCTCGACACCCAATCTGAGTGGTTGGAGTGTGAAAAAAGGTCAGGCGACCTTGAAATGACAGAATTTGCTTGGGGATTTTGGGCCACGACTCAGTGCCAACCCTCCGCCCATCCATCTATCTACAAGGAGAGACTACTCTGAACATTGCCAAACAGGTGGTGCTTGAATCAACCAAAAAGTGACGTACGAGTGCCAAACACAACTACTTACTTCCTCGAGAGGACGAGTGAAAATTGGATTGTCTGCCTGTTGGTTTTTGGAACTTCCAGGTTGTTTCCCGTGTTCTTCAGCCAATGATATGGGGAAAAAATAGGGGGTCCCCCAACATTGTGTCTTTCCTTGCGATTTCATTACACCAACCTGAAAAAGGGTACCCACTCAGCAACCCATAGGGCCCCTGCCAGATTCCCCTCCCCAGATTCGGTCCTCAAGCACACTAGCACGCTCCTCGGCCTGGCGGGAACTTTCGCGCTCTATCCTTTTGGTCTCCTTCGGAAAAATCTAAACTTCTGAACTAATTAAAACCCAGGTAAGTGGTCTACCGAAATCCATGATAAATAATGCGTGCGGTTCTTGCCGCACCTGTTTATGGTACCATCACTAGACTATCACTATCCCTTCACTCATGGATTTGCGAAGGTTTGGTACCAGCCCAAGGACCGGGGATGCAAAGGTGATCTGATCACCTTTTGGCCTCGGCAAAAAGAACATGCTCGCCAAAATGGGAAGCCACAAGGTCGAAAGGCCAGGCCAATTTTTGGCTGCGGACTGGTTTGGTTCGGTGTCTGGGCGATACAAAGAAGTTCCACAGGGCGACCTTGGAGCTGAACCTTTCAGCAGCTCTGGAAACGTAACTCTTGGGGTGGTCCACTTGTTTGTGTCCGATCCCATAACACCCTGTCTACCCAACGCTCACTTCCCGAGTTGACCGGCCAAAACAAGTCCGAACTTTCTATTTACCACGAAAACGGTCCAATCCCAAACAGTTCTTAAAGTCCATTCAGCCTCAGGGGAGTGAGACAAAAAAACTGAAATACCAAACAAACCACCTCCAGCTAGGTACCAAACCCCTCTCTCCACCTCTCACCAGCAAGAGTTTGAGGCGCAAAATCCACCAAAGCACGAAGAATAAATATCCATCACCCGCTGAACAGGGACCAACAAAACACCCCCCGTATCCTTTTGGTATTCTTGGAGAAAGTCTAAACTCCTGGACTAATCAGAACCACCACACCTGTTTCATGGTACTATCACTATCCCTTCACTTTCGGCTTTGGATTTGGAAAAAGGTTTGGTACCCCAGCCCAGGGACCCATGCAAAGGTGATCAACCCCCAGCCGCTCGCCACCCTTCGCCTCCCTCCGCTCGATGACCCCCCGCCTCGGCGGCGCGGGCCTGGGCGGCCAGCGCCTCCTCCTGCGACTTGGCCACCGCCTGCGAAGGCCGAGGGATGGCGAGGGCGGCCCACGGCGGGCAGAAAGGGCGGGGAGGTCGCCTCGCGGCAACCTATGGGTTGGGTCTGTAGGTTGGGGCCATTTTTTTTCCTGGGGTGCTGGTTTTGTCTTTTGGTCTGTGCTTTTTGGGTGGAAAGCCCTTTTTGGGCTTTTGGGGTGGTTTCAACGACCCCCCCGCTCCCTGGAAAGAGGCTCTTGCAAAGGCAGAAGAAATGGCTTCAACGCAGGGGACCAGGGGAACGCCACCATTTTGGGGCATTCCCTATTTTGACACACCACACACCCATTTTGCTCACAGGTGCTAGGCTGTTCTTATATGCCGCTCGGTGGTGGCCGGAACACGCCCGTGCTTGCAGAGTTCCCCGAAAGTAACAAGACAATGATAATCATAATGTGGACAAAACCCATTTCGCACCAGGTGGTGGTCTATCCCGGTAGGGTTTCACCCATCCCAGTGGTGGATGTTGCCTAGTGAAAGTTGGCCAAACCTCAAGGGCAGAGCAAAATAAACCCGTCCGATCGATTTTCCATGCGGGACTGACGAAGCAAACCAACCACTCATTTGAGTCATGCCATGTATGTTTCACCACCCCATAGCTTAGATCCGTTTTCAGGCTTTTCAGGCTTACCTTTCAGAACATCTGAGTGGTTTCCGTCCCCCCGCCCCCAGAAGGGTTCATGTCTCTCAGGGGGTCCGAACAGCCGAGATGTGAATCTGCCCGCCTCCCTGGCTGACGCGGTGGCTGTCCTGAGCGCGCGGGATCCAAGATCGAGAGCTTCGCGAGAAGACTCGAGTCTCACTTCCTGAGTGGATTGGCGACATCTAGCTGACGCACTTGTCATGAACATTCCGAAAACGAACCAGTTTTTAATGTTCTTTGTGTACCTTTGGACCGCGCGGGAATCGCATTTGGGAATTTTTCGAACTGTAGGGGACAATTCAAACTGCGGCCCTTGCCCACGGTTGTCAGCAAAGCTGTTCCAATGATAGAATCCCCCAACTATCCAGGATCGACTGGGCTGGGGTTGCGGTCGAAAAATCCCGCCCATCTTAGAGTTGGGTGGGACCCGTCAAACCCGTTCGGGACCAGTGGTTTCTGGGCTGCCCTCAGATCCCCTGCCAAAAGGGAAGGGGGCTCATCTGTGCCCACATTTTCGGCTCATCTCCGCCCGCACAGAAGTGACTCATCTGCGCCCACATTTTCTGACTCATGTGCGCCCACAGATTCTTTCGCGAATACATAGAAGTTGACCCTTTGCAAAAAGGGGTCAGCGGAGGATCATCTGCGCCCACACTTTGGGCTCATCCCTGCCCACCGAGAGTTTTAGGGTTTTTTGGGCGCAGGGTCATTAGGGTTTAGGGTTTTAAGGTTTAGGGTTTTTAGGGCTAAGGGTTTTTAGGGTTTAGGGCTTTCAGGGTTTAGGATCTTTGTTGATTAGGGTGTTTAAGGTTTAGGGTTTTTAGGGTTTAGGGCTTTTAGGGCTTAGGATCTTCAGTGTTTAAGGATTTTAGGGTTTAGGGGTTTTAGGGTTTAGGGGTTTCAGGGTTTAGGGATCTTCAGTGTTTAGGGTTTTTAGGGTTAAGGGTTTTCAGGGTTTAGGGCTTTTAGGGTTTAAGGATTTTAGGGTTTAGGGTCTTCAGGGTTTAGGATCTTCAGTGTTTAGGGTTTTTAGGGTTAAGGGTTTTTAGGGTTTAGGGTTTTTAGGGTTTAGGGATTCTAGGGTTTAGGGTCTTCAGGGTTTAGGATCTTCAGTGTTTAGGGTTTTTAGGGTTGAGGGTTTTTAGGGTTTACGGATTTTAGTGTTTAGGGCTTTAGGGTTTAGGGTTTTTAGGGTTTAGTGTTTTTAGGGTTTAGGATCTTCAGTGTTTAAAGTTTTTGGGTTTAGGTTTTTTAAGGGTTCAGCTTTTTTGGGTTTAGGGTTTTTAGGGTTTAGGGTTTAGGGTGTTGGGTTTTCAGGGTTTAGGATCTTTAGTGATTGGGGTGTTTAAGGTGGTTCAGGGTTTTAGGGTTTATGGTTTTTAGGCCTGAGGATCTTCAGTGTTTAAGGACTTTAGGCTTTAGGCTTTTTAGGGTTCATGGTTTTTTGGGGTTTAGGGTTTTTAGGGCTTAGGGGTTTCAGGGTTTAGGATCTTCAGTGTTTAGGGTACCTATGGCAGTTTCTCAGAATATTCTCTAAGAGCTGTAAAGCCCCAAAACACCTAAGATCATCTGCGCCCACACAACACTTCTGATTACTGCATTTGTGAAGTTTAGAGCATAGGGGACTGCCATCAATCTGACTCATCTGCGCCCACCACGCGGGTAGAAACGAGTGGATTCCAGCGGGTACAGACGAGTCGCAAAACGCGGGTACAGACGAGGGGCCTACCTGCCAAAAGTGACTAACTTTCAGTGGGATAGATTCGGAAACATAGCCCACTAAACCAACTAAAAGCAACGTACATGCCAAGTTGAACCGGATTCCGCTAGAAAAAACCACCATTTGCAAACAAAAAAGCCACCAGGAAAATCACAAACACCCGTGGAGTTCACCTGCGGACTTATCTCTTTTGGGGACCACCATTTTCGTGGGATTGGCCCTTTTTGCCTCTTTGGCAGCCCAAAACAGCTACCTTTTAGCTTGGGTGCTGTAGATCCCCCAGCAACAAGTCTTTCACTTTTGGCTGGTTAAAAGTAAATATTTTAAAACAATCCAAGAAGTTTAAAGTCTAAAGATCCACCTCAGCGGAGTTCGTGGGACTTTGGGCAGAGTCTCACAGTGCCTTTGGGGCGGGAACGTCTGGGCCCGCGGACTCGAGGCGCCGCTCCGCCTCTCGGCGCAGCGCCACCTCCCGATCCACCTGAGTCGGAGAAGTGGGTGGCCCGGCCGCGAAGTGGCTCACACGTCCCGGACAATCCAAGTAGTTTTTTGTTTTTCCCCTTCCATTTGCTTAAGTCCCTGGAAAAAGTCAAAATAAGTCCAGCAGTGATAGATTCCCTTTAACACCAACAGGGGAAAACAACTCTTAACCAAATGGAAGGTTTGGGATTTTGGAACTGAACCGCTTGGGAACCGTAAACATGTCAAGCCAACAACCCAAAGTGTGATGTTAAGGTGACGCGGACTATAAGCTGCAACAAAGACATTTCGCATACTACCAAGGTCAAAATAACCACGTGCCCCTGGGAACGTGGCCCGGAAATGATTTTGCCTGCACACGAGGGTGCCTGGGAAAATGGGTACATGGGGTAAGGGCATATTTCAGGTGTACCTACTGTAGCGGCACGCGGTTGAGCCTTCAGATGTTGCCTAATCCCCGAACTGGGGAGGGGTCGCCAACGTTCTCCTGTTTGGGCATGATTTTTGGTGGGGGACCCCGTGATGGATACGTTTACGTGGCATCTGTTTCTGCTGGATTGTACAACAACCCCGGATCCTTCTGCCGGACGGTGGTGGTTTCCCTTGTTCTATGTCGAGTCGTACCCGGCTACGCAGTTTCCCAGAAAAACCATTGTTGGCGGCCCTCACATGTGCCGTGGTGGAAGCACCCATTGGGGGTGCTAGGCCTGGTCATGGACCCTTTGTCGGGATTTGTGGGCAAACATTGGAAGGATTCCCATTTCATCACCCAGGACCATGCGAGTTGCGACCATGGCCTAGGATACACACAGCGTGGTTCTTTCTTGGACGGCGTTGCACGATGTCTTCTTCAGGGTATCCCGCACTTGTCTCCAAAAAAACATCCTGTTTGGGTGTGTCTCAAAATGGGATCTTGTCGAGAGGGGCTAAAACAAAAGACTTCTGTGGCGAGTGACCCCGACACGAGGCCTGGCAAACCATGTGGAAAAGCTCGTTGTAGCGACGGTCCTTCTCGGCCTCGGTCGAGCTCGGCGGAAGGAAATGGGTCTGACGCTCTGACCTGCTGAATTGAGGATTCCAAAAGCAAACAAGTTACCCTTTTTTGGGCAGTTACTAGAATGATGAAGACACCCACCCACACAAAGCTACTAAAAGATTGCGGGATTCAACAGGTGAGGGCTGGCTCCGGTGACATGGAGTTCCGGTACTTCCATTCCTGTCTGGGGCCTTGAGGGCCTGGCGAAAGGGACGTTTTTTGTTTGGAATTTCACTTCCTCCCATTCGGCCCAACCCCGACCCTCCACAAAAAAACCTTGTTTTTTTTTGGTTTTTGTTTCGAGGGCAGTCTTGTTGGGGTGGCTCAACGGGAACCAACAGTTGGAAGCTACTGTTTTGAGGGCCCTAGTTTGACACACCTCGGTTTTTTTTAGATCGGCTCTCGACCACTCAGGAGCCTTGATTTAGTCCTGGATGCCTTGGCCCATTGGCGCCGCCCGCTTCGCCGGCGGAGCGGCGACGGATCTGCGCTCGAAACTTCAACTTGACCACTCCTCAGGCGCGAGGTCTCGCGGACCTGAGGGGAAATCGGTCAAAAAGACCTCAACATTTTGGGCGAGCTTGCTTTTGCTTGAAGCCTAGCGCCTTGCGATCTTGATCCTCGATGCGACCACCCCAGCTATCAATTCCACCCCCCCCCCCCCTTGAAGCACAGGAATCCCAGCGCGCGGATTCGGCGTGTGTTGCTTCCACATCGTAGATGGAGTGTGATGGTGTCCACGGGGCGCGGCAGCAATTTCCCATGTCGGACGCCTGGCAACTTAACGCCATAAACACACATCCCAGGCGACGTTTCAAACACCCCAAGTCTTGGCGCACTCTTTCAGCACTTTCTAAGCCCGGATGCACAGGTCTGGCATCAAACAAAGCAGGTTCCTCCCAAGAACCGCAAAGTCGACCCACTACATTGGTCTTCTTCTACAATGACTCCAAACCCTGAAAGATGGACCTACATCCTGGTTGCGCTTGGTGTGCCCCTGGATCGGTGAGCTCGCTATAAAACAGGCAAATCGGCGTGGGTGCCTTTCTCGCAACCCCGATTTGGATTTGCTTTGGGCCCCTGGCAGCGTCGGCCTCCGCAGCATGCTCGGCCATCTTCAGCTTCTCCTTCAAACAGCGTTAAGAAAAAGAAGCTGACGGCGTGGAATGGGTGGCTCATCTTTTTGACGGTACCCTTTGGTTGGGAGAAGCAATTTGCCTGCATTGGGAAGCCTTTTTGACAGCACCCTTCAGCGCTTTTGGTTTCAAGGGAACAAAAAGGAGAACCACCATTGAGGTTTGGTGACATTTCAAGGCCAAAGGTTCTCAGAAGCCAATCAGAAGGTTCCTTCCGAAGCTTTGGGCGGGCTTTGGGGGGGGGGGCTTGTCCTTTTTTGATTCCGCATGATTGGGGGAACAACCCCTGAAAAAGGGTGCAACCTGTTGGAGCTTTCAGAACCTTAGTTGAGGGCCACAGTACTCCAATAGAATCTACAGTTGGCTGAAAGGAGATGGCACAATTCCCTCATTTGGTTTCATCCTCTTCACTTACCCAAAAAAACTATTTTCGTGTCATCCACTTTCTCCTGGTCAATATGGATCGGATCCCCTCTGGAAATAGGGCTTAACCATCAGGCCTCCCACCCCTAATTACCCGCCAGAATGGCTCCAAGAACCCTTCTAAGGATCCCTCCTAAGCTTCTAAGCTTCCAAGAACTCTTCCCATAGGTGTCCCTTTAGGGGAAATAGATGGGTTTCCCTGGTAGATGAAACTTCACCACCAGGTAAATCAGGGCTATCGATTTTCGACCAAAACCACCAAGAAGGACACCTATGATCCTTGCCCTTCCTAGGCATGGGAGGGGAGAGCTCTGGGCCGCCGAAACGCCAAGGCAACACGCGGGAAGATCTCCTCGGCAGCTCTGCGTGCCGCCTCCTGAAATGAACGCGCTCCCGGCGGTGGCTTTTTGAGTTTCCTTCTTCGGGGGGCCTGACGACCCAACTGAGTAACCGTCCCAGAAGGTGGCACGGCATTGGAGAACAAGTGTTCTATGTGTTCTGTGTTTTGTTTTCTTGCGCAGGGGGCTACCTTGTTTTGGTTGGATTAGTGGGAAGCCGATAAAACAGGCACCTTTCCTTTTTGCGAGTCCCCCATTTCAAGACGAACCCGCTCAGAGGGCTGGGGGTTTAAACCAACCGAAGGGTACCCTCAAAACACATACACCTACTGTGGATGGTTGCGAGATCCATTTCGCACCACCGCTCAGAAACTCTGGTGTCTGATGTTTCCCCTGTAAATGCTTCCGCCAAACGTTATGGTTTCATTCCCATGGTTTCAACACGCGACACGGAGTTCGCACCCACAGTATGGCGGGTGTTTCTCTGCCAAACATGGTTGGAGATGGAGTTGGTTCCTGTTGGTTTCCCTCAATCAACCCACAAAAAAGGGGCAGGAAACTCCTGCTGCGGGTTCGGAGTCCGGGCTTTGGCGGGTCCGGCCTGGGCGCGCACGTGCTCGGCCACCCGCAGCAAGTCCCGGAGCTGCGCCTCCTGCGCGCGTTAGCCCATGGGTTCGGTGACGCAGAGCTGGTAGGGTCAGGTTGGGTGCAGGTTAGGGTTTAGTAGGTTGGGTTAGGTTGGGTTAGGGCTGGGTAGGTTGCTTGCTGGTGCGAGCGAACGGACTCGAAAGAGGATGACTTTGCCTCAAACTCGAAAGCAAATAGAAGCTAAGTACTATAGAAGTTATACACACATACCGGGCCAACGTCTCAAACTGGCGGGGGACCTCACAACCGGGTGGCATTGCTCGCGCTTTCCCTTTCAACCTTACCCCCCAAAAAAACAGCGCCGCCCTCTGCACAGATGCACGCCACCACATTGCACCTTGATTTGGAAGAGCCCTTGATTGTTTTAATGGCCGGGATAGAGCTGCTCTGCTAAAACTAGTATACTTTTCCTAAAACCACCCCCAGGTCTGACTCAGTTTCTGCCCAACTCAGTTTTTCTTCGGGTCCCTAGTGAACCGTAAAATGCGAAATGTCTTTGTCAAGCAAGGCCCACATAATCACCGCTCCATGTTGGCAAGCCAACTGAAAGTGGCACCAGGACCAGTCACTGCAAGGGTTGCTCCCAGTCGATCCGATCGGCACCAAAAACTGGAATTTGGTCCAGGGCAACTACCCATGGTGGAAAAACCGCTTCTGTGGATACCAATGAGCGTCACAGGTCAGCGCTTCCTCTTGTTTTCATCCCCAAAACACAATGAGGCAAATGTGTTACTTCAATGGACCCACATGCGCATGACTTGCAACGGGGTTTTGAGCACGTTGTGATGAGATCTGGAAAAGGGTATGCGCCGGTGGCTGAAAAGGGTACGCTTACCATTTGGCTCGCGTTAATACAGTGCTGAGCGGGAGCCCGTGAGCCGGGTGTGGCTACAATTTGGCCAGCATGGATACAGAGCTTGAGCGGGTGCGCGTGAGCGGGTGTGCTCAGCATCTGGCTGGCATGGATACAGTGCTTGAGTGGGTGCGCGTGAGTGGGTGTGGTTACCACTTGGCTGGCATGGATACAGTGCCTGAGCGGGTGCGCGTGGCTCGAGCGTGAGCGGAGTGCTTACCATTTGACTGGCATGGATACAGTGCTGGGCTGGTGAGCGGATGTGCTTGCCATTTGGCTAACATGGATGCAGTGCTGAGCGCCTGTGAGCGGGTGTTCTTACCATTTGCCAGGCATGGATCCGACAAACGCAACGGCTGCCAGCACGCAACTGAAAAAGCACAACAACTCCTTGCTCCGAAGCGTGGGTTTTGCGCTGCTCCGAAACGTGGGTTTTGCAATGACGGTTAACAGCCCGACAGCGCCCACATGGCCAACCAGGGAAACAGAAAGGGCCAAAAGGTCGACTTTGGACAATTGAGTTTTCTTTGCCAATAGAGGGTACCCTCAAAAAATGTGGTCAATGTTCAAGCCCAAAATCAGTGTTGCCACAACAAGGTCTGTGTGTTTTGAAGGCAAACAAAAAACCTTTAAACCGCCATTTTGCGGGTCCTTCCCCTATTTGGACACATACCCACATAAAAGGTTCTTTCGTTTCTCTTTCAGTCTTCGCGCCGTCCGCAGCGGTGTTCTCCTTGGCCGCCCGCTCCGCCGTGAGCTGCGAAACCTCTTTTGTCTTAACGCCGGGCGGGTTTGGGAGGGAGACGGCGACAGGGGGGTAGCAACATTTATACAGGCCCCGGGGGCCAAGACTCACTACGGCTCCCTAAGAACCTTCTGCCCCTGCCTAGGGAACCATTTATGGAGTCCCCAAGGGAGGGAGGGGGCCAAAGGGGGCGGAAGGCTCCCAAAGGCTTCTTAGGGACCTTGTGCCCCTTATGTATAGGGAACCCTAAAGGAACCCTAAGGCTTTCAAGTGCCCCCGTTGTACGTACCGCCCTGAGGGATTCCATAAAACAGGCACGGATTGCTTTTGAACATCAGGCAAGAAAGCACACATGGGTTCCTCTTGAGGGGGAACCCGCTGTAATGGTTGGTTTCCTTTTGGGTTGCTTGCAACTGCCGGGTCCCTAGATTGGCAGGTTTCCTCCAAAAGAGGGTTCCGGCAAAACAAGACAGGCTGAAGGTCAAGGATAGAAGAACTTCGACATGGAACCAATTATTTGTTTGGTTGACCTTTGCTTGGGGAACCAAGGCTTAAAGCTCAAATTCGGCCACACCAAGGGCCGCCCAAGCATACACTTACAAAGTGTCAACTTGCTCCGTACTTGCTATCTCTAAAGAGAAGACTCCAAAGGACTCAAGGAGGGCCTCTTTTTGCATTTCTCGCCACCTTCAGATCATCAACCACAAACCCTAGACGATACCCCCGACCATACCCCCCGAATGTGCTTCAGGGCATATGTTTGACCCCTCAGTTACCCCCTCATGTTGTGTTTGCTATCATTCAGGGGACGTAGCGCGGTGGATTCCCTAGAAAACATCCAACCACAACACCTGCGTAAATGGCGTATTTATCCACCTGGAATCCTTTTCGTCAGGACCCCCAAAAACACCCTCCAAGGGTTGCGGTTGAAGAACCCTTAATGGGCCCAAAGGCTATGAGGGGAAATTACGGAACGCCTGTCATTGTTTCTTGGCAGCGTCCCTGATTTCGGTGTCTTTTTTCCAGGGTGGGGTGATCCAACCCTCCTAAATATGTAGAAGCACCAAGGCTTTACCGAATGTTGTCCCCCCTTTGGGTGCCTGAGTCTTCTATCAAATGGAATCCTCTCGCACACATTATTGTGCTCTGCAAGCGATCGGAACCTGTTTAACGCAACCCCTTCAACGGGACCCCTGAAGACACCCTCCCACAAACGTTCGCGAGAGGAAGAGTACATGTGCCTTTCCCCTTTCAACACCTAAAGGCACCACACGAAAGAGGTAATTTGGCTGTGGCTCAAAAATAGGGGCCCAAAATGGAAGCCTGGTAAAAGGAAAGGTAGACGAACACCTGCGTAACCCTGGGTCTTGAATTTTGAGCCACAGCCATTTATCACCAGCCCAAGTTCCCAGAGCGCCGGAGAGGTTGCGATTTCCGTGGCGCAGCAGTGGAGGTACCTGCCCACCACAAAGTTGAAGCTCAAGTTGGGCTCCAGCTCCAACAGGGGCACCCAAACCTAGGCTTTCTATTCGGTCACTCACTTTCGTCATCCACAAAGAAGTCGTCGAAGGACTCAGAAGCGCACCCGCGCGGCGGGCGTCCAAATTGGAAGATCAGTGTCATGGGCCTTTGCAGTTCGACTCGTCCAGTGCTGGATGCAAAGCACCAAGTCATTGGGTCGCCCCTGGCTGCCGCATCCAATAGATACCCAACAAACTTTCCCGACCATATGGGTACTCCGTGATCACACACAACCCGACTCCACAAGGCCATCAAATATGCTACTAGGGTTGTTAGAACCCATTCAACAGGTCCCCTGAAGCGCGGGCACATCTTTTAAAGCATATCCCTGATTTCCTAAAAAACCAGCATTGGCATTTACAACCCATCCCAGGCCCCCCTCCAACATTGGTGGACATAAATCCTCAAATGACCCCTCCAAAGGATCCCCACTACTGTGCCCTTTTAAGACCCTCGGAAAGGGCTTCGGCTGTCCTTTGAACTTGGGCTTCCCTCGAAAACCACAAAAAAACACAAGGCGCCCTCAACAAAAATTAGGCTTCCCCGAAAAATCAGGCTTCCAAAAACCATGCTGGTTTCAATCAGGGGTTTGATCAAACATCGACAAACAAAAATTAGGCTTCAGCAAAAAGATACATTTTTCCCCCAACAAATCCAGGTACACTCAACAAAAACAAGAAAACACCAGGCTTCAGGAAAAACACACACACACACAACAGAAAAAGAAAGAAAGAAAAAAGCAATCCCGGTTTCCCCCAAACAGAACTCAGATACCCCTCGACCTCCAACTTCAAAGACGAGTTCTGCATGGCTCAGTCCGACTCGTTCGGCGCCTGCTCCCGGAGCTGCAGAAGCTCTCTGGACTCCTCCTGGGACCTGAGCGGAGAAGCAGCAGGCTGCGGAAAACGGCGTTTCGTGGAGCCAAAAGCGAAGTAGCCGGATGAGTTTAGTTGTTTTTCTTGCAAATGGGAATTTGATGTTTTTTTTTTTCTTCTTTTGATGAACTATTTGGATGAGTTTTGGTGTGTTTTCTTTTTTGCAAATGGTTGGGAGGGACATAAATCCCCACCTAGTGAATTTTAGATTTCCCCTTTTTGTGGGCTTGGTGGACAAAAATCCCCACCTAGACGATGTCCACTGTCCACCTTTTAATGAGAGCCCGCTCATTAAACAAAAAAAAAAACACAGCCAATGTGAACAAAGGGAGAACCAAGGGTTGGTGGGTTGCTTGGTTGGTGTGTTATAACATGCTTATAAAGAAGGGGCATGCACTTATAACATGCTATAACATGCTTATAAAGAAGGGGCATGCACTTATAACATGCTATAACATGTTTATAAACAAGGGGTATGCACTTCCATCTCTCAACTTCAGAGCCCTTGTTGGGAAAGGGTGTGAAAGGGACATCAAAGGGAGCTTCGCCAACCACTTATCCGTGGGTGTCCCTTTGGTTTGCCCAAAGGACCACCGCAAAGCTGAAAGGTTTCCCTCAGGTGTCCAGGCTGGTGATGCGGACACCGCTTTGCGCGTTTTGGTACGTCCCTTGCGCCCAGCTAGTGCTTCACTCCACTTCGCTTCACCTCACTTCAGAGCGCGCGAGCCAAGGCCTTGGCTCCGGCTCCGTGGTGAGGAGGTGGTCATCTTTGGTGAAGACCACCGGTTCATAGGCCAAGTCCTCAGAACAGCCAGGGAGACGCCCAGGATGAGCCAAGGAGCCCTCGACATCCAAGAAACATGCCAGGTTCGCGCGGGTCTCCTAACGGGTAGGCCCCCTGGTTCCTCACAAGGGAAACCAGGAGGTTGTTGAAGCTATAGTGGTTTAATCATGTTTAAACAAGCGGGTGGCCAGAATAATCCCCTACCAGAGCCCAGTCGCAACCAGTGACCTGAACGGTAGAAAACGAAGCGGAACCATCTCTTTGCGGGATTGATTCTCTTTTTGTGGGGCGTCCATGAGGCAAACCGCGGACTAGGGTGCCACCAAGTGGTTACCAAAGTAGCGGGAGGGAGCTGGGTTGGGGGGGAAGGGTACGGCCTTCCGAGGTCCGGGCCGTCATATCTCATGAGCTGCTTGCAAAATGTTGAAAAGCGCCTGGATAAGATCCTGGCCTCCCTGACCAGCCTACCGAAAGCTATCGGTCAGAGCTTGGCTGCTGTGGTTTCTTGGAGTTCGGCGCGGGTGAGACTGGAGCCAAGAGACGGAGGCGATTCTTAGCCTAGGTGTCACAAACCCATCCAGCGCAGAATTTTGAGCATCCAGCTCTTGTTGAGGACCCAACACCAATCGGGCGCTGGATTGAGGAGGACATTGTATGTTCCCTGTTAGAGCAAATCCAGCAAATTCTGAGAGAACCCCCCATTAATGAACCAAAGCTTTATTTATTATGGGTTCCCACTATTGTTAAATGTGGAGTTGCACCTCACGCTCAAGCAGGGGTGCTGCGCAAACACGTCAACACGGAATAACTTGCGCTGTTGGGGTCCTCTGCTGAGATAAGGGGTATCTCCTCTGTCCATCGAAGAAAGAACAAAGAAGGACAAAAAAACGCCTCCAGGGACGCACCGCACCCCCCCGGCCCCCACCCAGCCCCCAGCCCCCTGCCCCGGCTCGCGGCTTTTTTTTCTTTTTCCGCTCAGATCATCTCCAGGTCATCCAGCGAGACGTTCACGTCTGACACCACCGGCCGCAGCATCGCCAGCACCTCTCCCGAGGCGAGGCGCGCTCCGAGCGAGACGCGATCCGGGCGATGCGAGGATCAGGCCGTGGTGATTTGTGGGCATCTCTCGGGCTCGCGCAAAAGGGGCAGACAGATGGCCGGAGTCTGCTTCACATTTGGTCTACCCTAACTTGGGTATAACATGGCTTTGTGGGATTGATTTCACAGGGAAGGCACCGCGAACTACACACGGGACATGGCTGGTTCTTTTACAGTGACCCGTTTCGGTGCCGCCGATCTCTGCCGCCTCTTAAAGGGCATGCCCAAAAGGGGCCCTAATTTGACAACCCCCCACTCTGGGTGAAACTCCCCGACGCTAGTTGGAACTACCAACATACGTCCAGCTATTCAGCCTTCCATCCCTAGGCAGTTTTGGGATATCCCCAGCTCCCTGTCCGCATCCCTTCCAACCACGAGGGTGCATTGCAGCAACGGGATCCTCGGCAAAGCCTTGGTGGGCCTGCAGGGCACCTCTCAATCAAACTCCCTAGGTCCAACTCCAGTAGAGAGGCTAGAATAAGGGTACCAACTTTTTTCATTTTTGTGTATTTTAGTAGGGGAACCGAATCTCCCCCAAAAAAGGGGTTAAAAAGGGCACTACTGGGTGACCTAGACTCTCTAAGGTTGGTTCACTTAGCAAACGTATCTGGGTTTGTCTTGCAATGGGGGAAGTCCCAGATTTGGCCGTTTCCTTGTGTGCCCCTTTTAAAGAAGCCCAAGCAGCAACCAAACAAAGTCTTGCCTGGAAACAAACTGAACACACCCCTCGAATGTACAAACGCCTTAGTACCACACTTTTGAACAGTGGAGACCCGACACCTGATATGGGTGTTTAAAGGGAAGCCGAAACAGAAACCAGCCATTTCCCATTTGAGACAAACCCGTATATCTTTTGTAAGTGGTTCTGCTACCTCTGTCTTGCCCAAATCAGATGTCGTCACGTTTTCTGGGGTACCTTCCCCATGCTTTCCAGGGGTCTTCCAATCTCTGGACACCTGGAAAAACGGCTGGTGTTTGAAAAGAACGATGGTTGAAAAGAATGGGGAACCACAGCCTTCAGGCAAGTGAGACCTGGTTTAGCGGATGGTAGAACCAACAAAAACCATTTCAAGTGGGAACCGGGTTTAGTCAGTTGTCTGGTTTCCAGCGCATTTTTTGCAGGCCCCCTTGTCCCTCCCAAATGCGTCGTGGAGAAATCAGGACACGGACCTTTGGCCAACACCTCCCACGCTGCCTCAGACAGGGGAAGTGTCAGCAAGTCCGACTCGCAGTCGTTGATGCCGTAGCTGACAACCACCTGCGTCCACTGGAAAGTGATTGGACTACAAGCCGGTGGATTTCATCTGTTCGACCGAAGAAGGACACCCTATGCCTGGGCGTGTCCAAAAACAGGATTTGTGGTTTAGCTCTTCGTCACAGTCCAGGAACTACGTGGCGAAAATAGCTTGGCAAGTATCCACATGTGTAGGACACTGGCTTGATGCTGTCATTTTACCCCAGTTGCCAATGTTTCCCTACGTTCATTGTTTATTGATTGATCGATTGATTGATTGCTTGAGGGCAAATTGGTTGGTTGATTGGTTGGTTGGTTGGCTGGTTGGTTGATTGGTTGCCTTACTGCCCAACTGATTGATTGATATCTGGATCAGGGTTTATTTCCAACACATATGGACTTTCACCAGGTTGTTATTAAACAATGACCATCCAATGATGACATTTAAATTAAAAAAAATACCATGGACTTTCACCAGGTTGTACAATTTAATATTAAAGACATGTTAGATATAATGATACAATACACACCTTTTTGGTTTGATTGTAATAATTCAATCTGTTTTAATCTGCCATGGTTGTGGTGTAAATAATACAACCAAGAATCTAAGATTGACATGATTTTGATTTTAATTTTTTGAAACCATGTGTGATGTTCTAAACTAGGAACAGCTTTCTTCAGGCTCGGTACTCTTTTTGGGTTGTTCTTTGTCCGGGAACACACACAAAACTACGCACGCATGCACTCCGGGATCCAGAATATACAAACATAAAACAAACTATGTTTTTCTGTAGTCTATTTTAGTAGGGGAACCCTCCCCCCAAAAAAGACGGTAAAAGGGCACTACTGGGGGGACCTAGCAAATATACACACAAACGATTATGTTTTTGTGGGTTTTTTCCCCAAGGGCCGCCAGGGGCCGCGACGCAGCTTCGCCCCTTCGGCCGCTCGGAGAGGTCGCCTCCCAGTTCCGCAGAGCGAGGCCGGCCACGAACTGGATGGACTCGCAGGCCTATGCGGAACTCTCGCTGCGCGCACGACGTGTTGCCACGCCCACATGACGCGTTTCATTTCCATGGGAAGGATAGCAATTGTTTGGGTGGGTTAGGAAGATTCGTCAAGGATGCGATTTTTGACTTAGGTCGGTTAGGTTACCAAGACCCCCGCTGGAATCGGCACCGTTGGTAGTCTGTTCTTGAAGGAGGTTGCCCCCTCCAAAAAAGAGGTTGGAGCAACCCTGTTCTTGACGGATCCGAACTTCCCATGCAGAAAGTATTGCAGTTTTGCGGTTTGAAAGGGCAAACACATCAGTTGTGGCCGGGCAATTTCTCACGCAATGACAAAGAGTTGACACATACCTTAGTTTTACACCCAACACTTTGATTCTAGTTTGTATTTAGTGAGCCGCAAAATACTTGTCACCACCAACAAGCGGGCGCAGCGAAGCGTTGCCTTTGAACAACGGAAGAGGGGTCAGCGGCTGGAAACGGGGTACAGGCGTTCGACCTAGGCAGCTAACGTGGGTGAAAGTCCAGTTGTGGAAGCAGCCAGGCCGGGAGCTGCCAAGATTGAGACAGTCAACAGGAGAACGGGCGTCCGTCTTTGTTCCTACCTCTGTGCTACTGCAGGGGAAGCAAATGAAGGAAAGATGCATGGGTTGCAATGTGTGTATTCATTGCTGCACTCACAAGCAAGAGCTAGGGTTGGCCTTTCTATTGCAACTACATTGAAAAATGGGTTCCAAGCATATTTCCTCTTCAAGCAGCAATATGTGAGGACTGGTTCAGCCCACACACTTACAAGGGTTGATTTCCGATTCGATTCGTCCATCCTTTTGTTCAAAAACCGCACATTTTCCCAGGGTTCTGGAAGAGGAGGATTGCGAAGGGATAATTCTCCATTTTCTTCACCCATCTTGTATGGAAACCACTAGTTTCTCTCTGGGTTTTGTGCAGATTCCTGAAGAGAATGGAGACTCTGCAGAGAAAGGGGACGGTACGGCAAGCGCGGTAGAAGCGATAGTCCACAGGTTTGCGTGAACATCCCGAACAAACCTCGACAGTGATCAAATCATGACAGTCCAACGCTCCGCAACTCTCAGTGCTGACTCCAGATGAATTGGAGAACTTCCCCAAAAGTGAAGAACCCCTTTGTCTAAGGGGACTCCCCCACAATCAACCAGAGACTGATTAAGGATGCCGACTGGGTGCGTCTCGGGGTCGAAATTAGCAAAGGAAAGGGCCACGTCCCTTTCGTGACCCCTTGAAGGATCTTGCAAAACCAGGCGCTTTTTCTTATCTACCTGGGTTTGGCCTACACCAACCTCGGGACTTGGAACTGCTCCAGGGAAGAAAAACCTGCTTGGATGGGGAAGAAACCTTGGACCCCTCTCCTTCTAAGATACTCGATTCGCCAGCAGCAGCTAAAGGCGGCTACTTGAAAATAAGCCACTGTCGTTGAGGCTCAGCAGTAACCTGTCTGGAGTTCTCCTGGACGTTGCTCCCTTGGCGAGGCTTGGTCTGGGTGACGAGCCCCCAATTTTGCACACGAGGTTGAGCAAACACACACCCTAACACGAAATGCCCGGATGAAATGCAAAACAAGAAATAATAGGACCACCCGCCATTTTGACCATGTGGAGACGACAAAACCCGATGGTCCAAGAATCGAGTTGCAGGCATGGTGCCGATGGGTTGCAACCTTGCTAACCACTTTGCCAAGTCAGGGGCCATCTACTTCCATTTGCTTTTTCGCCCCCTGGACAAAATGAGAAACTACTTCCAGTAGTGATGGATTCCCTTTAAAACCAACAGGAAAAGGGGAAAAATCATCTTAAGCAAATGGGAGTCTGAGTAAACAAAGCTTTCCACCAGACCTCACCCGGCCTCCTCTCCAGGGGCCAGGACCTACCGACTACCGACTAGGCGACGCGCGCAGAACCTCCGGAACTCCGGGGCTTCCGAAAGCAAAGGAACTGCGTTCTGAGTGACCCATTGAGTTGCTTCTATCAAATGAGTTCCTTTGGCTTTGCAAAACCACTTGTTGTGTTGGTTTTCTCGAGTTGCTCTGCTTTTTGTTCGTTCTCCTGTTTTGTTGTGAAAGAACAGCAGACAACGGTGTGCTTGTTTTTTTGACGGAAAACCACGAAGAACAACAAGAGCCACAAGAAAGCCAGAACACGCTGAGTTGTTGAGTGTTTATACTCAAAAAGAAAAACAACTGCTGAGGGACAAACACCTCGAGAAAACCAAAACATTTCTTGGCAACACCAAAACTGATCCTCATAATTGTGGTTGTTGTGTTAAGGTTTTCTCAATGATTGTTTGGCTTTCGTGGTCTTCCCTCAAGAAGTTACTTTAAAAAGGCCAAAGCCATCGATGGTTTCATTTCTTCTCAAGAAACAAGAGCCGAGGGGAAAACAAAGAACATCTTTTTGGATGGCCTTCCTCGATGTAGGCCTCCACTGTCTCCACCTAAACTGCAAAGGTTCCTAACAACGCAGTGTTGCTTCATATAGTTAATCGCAAACTTCAAACACTTGTGTTTTGCTTGCTAACTTCTCGCAAGTAGCTCAATGCAAATGGATCCCGTTTTTCTTTGAACGTCGTTCTCATGACGAAAGCGTAAACACTCCGTGGTTTTAACATGTTTTGAGGCACATCAACAGGGGTAGCTTGTGGGGGGAGGGGTGACTATATATATATATATGTAGATATGTGGCAGGGAGCTTTCTAACATTTGGTCTGGAAAGTTATTGATATATATATATATATATAGATATATATTATATACACATATATATATATATACATTGTTAGTGTGCAAACAACAAGCGGCTATCTATTCAATCCATACAAATCCTTACTGTGCCCATATTCCAACAAACAGAACGTTGAACAGAAAACACTTAATTAGTGTATACCTGTTGTATATGAAACCAACACTCAAGTGAGCAATGCTGCAACTATAAATACAATATGAATGATGGTTCAGTTTGTTACACATTTACTTAATTCTTTCATTGCTTACATTATTTGTTTATATGGCTCGTCACTTTTGGCATTCATACATTTGTACTTTGCTATTCATACCATCACCACTTAGCACACTAGTACTACACTCAGAACATGAAATAAATATCATTTCGCTCATAACATGTCGGCTTCTTTTTTACTTCAGACTCCAAGACTAAGCCTAGACGCGGTTCTAAACTTTAAATATTAAACAATTCCTAAACATACATGAGTGAGAAACGCTGATAAAATTACTAGCAACATATTCTTGCCAAATTTGCCCCCCCAAAATCTTTGGAAACTTTGCAAACTTTGGATTTCGCCAAAGTTTCGAAAGTTCCAAAAATCTGGCCAGGGGGCTCCTGGGGAGCTTCAGGAGACTTGCAAAAAGAGGTTTTGAGGACACACCTGTGCTTGGGCCAAGCATGTTCAACTTGCCATGCTTCTAAACTTTCTTCTTCGAGCAACACATAGGGGTGGTGAAAAGCTTTGACAGTGTTAGGGCATTCGCAGCCCGGAAAGCTGACTTAGGAGGAAGCTCTAACAACCTATCTGAATTGCACTTACTTGACACGCTTTTCAAGTGCAACACTGCAAAAGTGATTGCAAGTGCAATGACGAACATTTTGGGTCGGAGGATTTTGCTCAAGGTATCTACGAGAACAAAAGCAAATACTGCTTTTGAATGGATGATGTGAAAAGGAAAACTTTGTAAACACATTTCCAATAATGGTATGACACGGTTTCTGAGCCTGTCCGTCGCAACCAACCTGGACAAATGTGAATCCGCTTTGATTTCCCTTTTAAGACAATTAGACGCCACTATCCTGAGTGGGTGCCACAGCCCAATAGTTTCAAACTTTAGGTTTACCATCTTCCCAGAAAATATGAGGGCGAAAACACACGCTAATACCACACTTCCATTTGATTAAGACCCTAAAAAAACAAAAAACATAAAAACAAAAACATATTTATAGTTGTGATAGTTTCCCTTTAAAACCAACAGGGGAAAATAAAAATATTAAGCAAATGGAAGCACATGGTCGCAAACTTAGCTTCGCTCCCCAGCGCCCAAAAGCTGTTCGTACAACGTGACCGTTCGGGCCTTTGCCCAGTGCTGGCTGAAGTGGCCGTTGATGGTGATGCACCTCAAACAGCATGATGGACATTTCCGAAAGGGTGGGTGGGTGTCCGTTTCCAAACAGGGACGTGCAACCAACCAATCAAAGCACACCAACCCCTTAAAGAATTGAACAAGGGCTTGAAGCCCAAAAATGGTCGGCATCCCCCTTGCTTCCGTTGAAAAAGGGATCCCCAAAAGAATGCACCCAGATCAGGGCTGGCCAACGTGCGGCCCCAGCTTCGTTTGCCACGCTTTTGCGAGATTTGGGAAATGTTCCAAAATTGGGTTCTTGCACACCAGAAGTACAAACAGGAAAGGAACCACCCTCTCATTTTATTGTTTAAATGAAACTAGACATTTGAAGTTTACATTTGCTGTGTGCGTGAAACGAGATCAACCTGCTGCGTCTTTTTTGAGGGTAACCCGGGTTGGGGAGTGCTTGGAATGGCGGGCCCGTGCCCTGCCACCCACCAGCAAACAACAACCCAGGTCACCGATCACAAAGCAGCTGGCTAATTGAGAGCCACTAAAGCATTCGCACGTGCACGCCTGACGCTCGCATCAAGGGCCGGAAGGGAACTCTAACGCACGCCCCCTCAGAAACACGAAGCCGCGTCGAACAGCACCTGCGCCCTGGATGGACCAGCCACTTTCAGTCACTGCGCCAGATCGTTGTTGCATGTTGTTGCCCTTTTCTTCACCTTCCAAAGCCACACACGAGACAATATTGCGGGTGGTTGCGAAATCCATTTCGCACCACCTAAGAAATTCTGGAATGCTGATTTGCGGAATGGACTTCGCAACCGCCCACAGTGGCTCCAAATCCTGATGACCGGCAAAGTTGGGCCATCTCCCGCGCCCCGGGACGCAACCCATTCCGCGAAACGCGCGAAATGCGCTGCTTCAGCTCGGCGCCATTCCGGCGACACGGCCACCACATCAAACGGCTCGACATCCCTCAGCAGGTAGAAGAACCTCAGTGGTTACAAATGCCCAGCGGCCATGGGAACCCTTCCCCAAAAACAAGGAAAAAGGGGTGCTGCTGGGCAACTGGGTTAAGTGCAGACCGTCCGCCTTAAATCAAATTCATGTTGACCCCATACTAATCAACCAACCAGTTTATTCATACCCCTCCAAAAGTGATGATTTCCCACTAAACCCAGGGACACCCCCCTATTAATAAACTGGTTGGTTGATTCATATGGGGTCAACATGAGGCAAAAAGTTCTAGGAGGTGGCCGAGATCACGAGTGAGTTCCGCGCAAGGGAGCTTGCCCCGCGCTAACAAGTAAAGCAGGCCCATTTTCCCTACCACAGTTTACGCGAAACTCAGCTATAGCCCGTGCTCCTCGGATTCCCGCGCGTTCATCTGAAAAAAAAATCGCCCGGTTCAAGCAAAAACGCTTGGATACGAATATCAAAAGAGAGGACTGCCCTTCATGTGGGTTCAGTCTTTCTGCCACTCATGTGCACGATTTGCAGCATGACAAAGCTAGCGCTTTTTTGACGCGCGCTTGCGCTCGTGTAGCGAGACTGCGCGCGCTCGTCGTGCGGCCGTCCCCGTCTCATCCAAGAAAGCTGCTGCTCTGTTCAAGACATCGACCATGTTGCGCAAAACGTGCCTCCAAACAAGCCGCTCGCGAGCACAAAAGTGTATCAAACAGCCGCTTGAGCGGCTGAACATCATTGAAAGATCCAGGAATGACAACGAGGCAGCAGAAAGCATGAGATTCCTTATCCGCTAAATGATTGGTTAGGTTTTCCTGTAGCTCGCGCAAACAAGGCTCAGTGGATGAGGCGGCGCCCTAAGCGAAACCGGCGGTCTGCAACGGGCGAGCACGGGGCGACATTCGCTCCTTCCTTGCTCTCCTTTCCATCTGGTTCCCTTTTCAACGTAGAGATTGAGCCACAATGTACAAGACGCACCCGTCGCTTATCTGCAAACACCTGAAGAGGGGCATGTCATGGCGTGTCTTTCTCACGAATCCCTAGTCCGTTTGCCGCGGGGCAAAAAGAAGAGAAGCTCTCACACACACATTTGGGTGTGTCTCAAAATAAGGGAAAAGGACATTTCAGAATGGCTGGCGTTCTTTGGGTGTCCAAGAAAAACCAACCTTAGTACGTTTGGAGGGCTTTGATTCTTCCGGCCTGTGCGTCCCCGGAACCCTTCTGGAACCTGACCTCAAAGCCGCCCCGGACCACCCTGGAGCTGTTGGGAAACCTACTCGTGACGCGGGCGTCACGTCCCTGCGATATCGCCGGAGATTTGCCACGAATAGATTCCTCGCAACCATGGCTAAATGGGGCAGCTCATTCACTTCCCCAAGTTTACAGGGGGAAGATTCATTCACATTGCTGAGGCAATGCTGGCACAAGGTTTGCAAAGGAATAAATGCGCCCAACCAATTTCTACAAACTTGTGGTTTGGCATGGTTTGGCCAACAGATTGCCTGGCAGCGCCCAGTGGAAAAATGATCAGAGCCAGAAAAGAACATGTAGCAACCTAAACAACATGCCCGTGCCCGGGGGTGGAGGTGCTCGACATTCAGGAAAGCCCAAGACATCGCCTGAAGATCAAGAGCGAACCGCTTACTCTACAGGCGACCTGTGTGACCAAGGTTCCATGTAGCTCGCCAGCTTCCCAGAATGAAGCCATAGCAACCCAGAAGCACCAACTATTCCCTAATCAGTTTTAGCTTGGAGTTGCAATTCACCCCTTTTGTAAACATGGAACTCAACCAAGAAAGAGGCCTCCAAGGAAGCAGAAAACATGACATAGATTGAGGGTGGATTTAACGCATTTCCTTCATACGTGAACCCCAGAGAAAGGCAAGTCACCCATGTTGCGCAGAACCAACAGAACGACGACGCCGTCCGTTTCCGGTTTGCGCGAAGAACCGGTGGCTGGGGCCGTGGCTGGTGGTAGGTCTGAGCGCCGAAAAACGACTCTGAACTGGGGAGTGTGGGGGTGTCTTAAACTTCTTGGCCGGAAAAAGACCCCAGCATTTTGTTTCGCCTGCTTCGTGGAAAGCAACCACTGCACCAAACAAGAACTCATGTTTGCCTGGCTAGCGGGAAAACACCAACTGACTGGACCGGGGAAAAAACAGCAGAACAAGGTCATTGCCCCTGACTTGTCGGGCTCCGGCGCGTCAGGGTATTGCTCCAAAGGCACGCCGAAAAATGCAGCGGCCGGGGGCGTTTGGACAGAGCCGCACGGAGCGGTGCGGGAAACCAAACCAAGCGCCGACCAAAAACCGTCAAAACAACAACTTGTCCTCGGCCACTCGAAGGGTCTTGCCAAAAAGCTTCGAACAAACAAAGGGGCCCGTCTGCCCGTTGGGCATCTTTCAAGGGCTCGGAGCCATTGCTGTAACCCACCGGTCTGGGTTCGCAGAGCATCCTGCTTGGGGGGTTGCAACTGTTCGGCTTTAAGCGAACTCCAAAATTGGCTGGTCTGCTTGTGTTCAGGAAGCTCACACAATTTTAACGGAAATCCTCGATCTTGAGTTATGGCCGGGCTTAGAGTTCCTGGACGGAAACTGCTTTTGAACGGAACCATCAAGCGTGCAGGTAACAAGTGGCTGGTTGTCACCCAGTTGGTAGGATCTGCCCCAGGATCAGTAGAGCCCCTGACTGGTGCGTCCCATTTTAGAGAGGATCCACTTCGCTGTTCACCTACCAGGTTAGAATAAAAAAGGGGTTCATTTCCTGACAGTTTTGATAAACCCCCACTAAGGCGGACCCTTCCGCTAAAAATTCCAGTCGCTTCTCTTAATTCGAGGTTCCCGTTCGGGTCTCAAACTGGGGCCACTTTATTTTTTCCTCTTGGGTCTGTCCTCAGATCCCCTGCTAAACGTCAAAATGTTGGTGGGTCAAATGGAAGATACCCTCTAATCCAGCTAGCAAGCTACAAGCCTAACTTCACACACGTTGGTATGGGCTTTCAACAAACTGACTGTTTTTGGCAGCCCCCTAAAAAAGGAACAGAACCCAACAAAAAACAAAAAAAACTGGACCCAAGAGCCACGAAGCCAACTAGGTCCTCCAGTAGGGAGGTTACAATAAGGGTACCAACTTTTCAGGACGTCCATTTTAAGTAGGGGAACCCTCCTCCCAAAAAAGTTGGAAAAAGGGCACTACTCAAGGACCTAGCCTTGGGTGCTGTAGATCCCCCAGCAAAAGTTTAACTTTTTGCTTCTCGCATCGCAATTTAACTTTTTGCTGGTTAAAAGGAAATATGAAGGGAATCCGAAAAGTTGTTCAGTCTAAAGATCCAACCCAACAGCGGTAGCCAAGGACCCGGCAGACCCTCCGGGCCGACGCCGGATCGAGCTCGTCTCGGGCCGAGGCCGCGGCCCGACTCTTGGCCTGCCGCCGGAACCTCGACACGTCCCCCGGCGCCTCGGCGAGGCAAATTGGCGCTCGCGCGCGCGGCGAGGCGGCGAGGCGGCGGAAAGAAAAACGGGCAGCAGGCTCGGAGCCAAGTCGGAGCCACCTGATGTGATCCACAATAATTTTGGGGTTGACGTGGGGAAGCCTGAACGAAGCTTTGTACCTAAAGGGGCGATGTACTTGGTAAGTGGCGAAGTGGTTTTGACCATGGTTGTTACCTACTTACTAAGTACCATGCCCCTTTCAGTACGGGAGCACACTCCCTCAGGAAGCTTTCAAAAGCCAAGTCTTCCATTTCGGGGTCCGTTCGGGAGCTTCTATGGAATCGCCTGCGGGGAGGATATTTCAAAAACCTGATTGTTCACAGATACTTGTTTTTTTTCCCCAATTGGTGACTTCATATCTTAACAAAAGTGTTCTTTTGGAGCAAGGCAGAATTCTCTTGGGCCACTTTTTGAAAGAGCTCGTTGAGAAGGGTGGTTGTAAGAAAACTGACTTACCGTCATGCTCGTCTGAAAACCCGTTAAGCCTCCAAACTGTGTAAATGACCCTACAAAATCAGATTCTTAATTCAGGCGCCTCCAACTTCAACCATGGACATGTGCTGGGAAAAAGAACGCGCCCGGCTCCCATATACGCCGCAGAAGTCCAAACTGCGTCTGACCTCCTCCGCATGCCGAGGGACGCTGGCTGCAATCCGGGCAGTGGGGGCAGGGACAAGCCTGCCGGGGTATCTCTTGGGAATCTGAGCAAGTCCTGGCAGCACTGGCGCCCGAAGTGCTCGCGACAAGCCGGTCCGTAAAGGCTTGTGGCAATCTGCCAAGTAATACCTGGATCCGTGCCAGCTCCCATGGCGCTCAAAGCTCAAGCAGCTGCAAGCAGCTGCTCTACTTGGGATGCTCCGTCTGGTTTCGCGATGTCAACCAACGGTTGTCTCTTTCCGAGGCAATGCCGAAAGAGGGGTTGAACATTTCAGGATGCCCAGGAATGCCCGAAGAAAACCCTACCGCTCAAGAGGAACCCCCAAAAAAACCGCGAGGACAACTCCGAGGCACCGCTAAGCCCTAACCGTGGGGCTGGAAATGGCTTGGGTTCAGTGACAATAGTTGTGTACCTCGCCTCGAATGATCGCTTTAAAGGCCAAAAGCGAATCTAGTTTCTAGCTTCATCGCACAAAGCACTTCGGTTGTCCGGGGATTTGAGAGTTGCGATATGCGCAGTAAAATCAGCTAGTTCTCCCACAGCCAACTTAATCACTCCAAGCGTTGCGCTCGAAAAACAGCAAGTGTCTCCGGACCGCAACAAAAACAACTTCGTTCCAATGGAACCACCACATGGTCGCAGAAAATGCGGAGAAAATGCCTCGGACCCTTGGTTGATTCTCACCTAGCGGATTCACACCAATGCGGCGCCAAACAAGGACCAACATTTCTGCCCATCGCAGTGGTGTGAGCCTAAAGAACCTGAAATGCAAGCAAAGTGTTCATGCACACATCGGTCTTTGATTGAAAGATCCATTCTGACGGCCCGAAATTGGAGAGGTACGACGCACAGCTACCCTCAGGGGTTGCTTTTAGAGCGATTTCCCTTCCCGCGAAACCGGCTTCTGCGCTTCCGGGGTCAAACTTGATCTGGGCCCCTTTAACTCTTATGGTTATCAAGGGCCCCAATAGGGGCCCCCAAATCCCAATAGGATAATAGCGACTAATAGGGGTCCATTGGGGGCCAATAGACTTCCTTTTCAACATGCTATGGGATAAATTGCGGCTTTCAACATGCTCACTCTGAGGGACCCAGTTTATGCTCTCAAACAGAGTGTCTAAGAGGCTTCCCCTTTTTGGTTGGTAACTCAAATTTGCTTATCCTCAGAACCCACCCCGTGGTTCAAACATCACCTTCTTTTGGCTTCCAAGGTTCCGAGCGGAAAGCTGACGAGTGTGCCCATGTCATTCATGTTTCTGCCGCGAATGACGTTGAAGGTACAGTGACCGTTTCTCACAAGTGTGTATCGTAATGGGCGCGCCGCGTCATAAAGCCGCAGTTGATTTGGGGGGAGCACCCAATATTCCGCAAGGTTCATTTATCTGTCTTTAACGGAGGAGCATACGCCGTATGGTGGGGCCTTGACAGGTTGTACTAAGACTCTAATACTTCCTATGATCAAAAAATATTTTAACTCTCCTCGCAAACACCGATCTGGTCTGAAAGGTGAACCTACTTAAAGGGGAGATCGGGTACGTCAGGCAACTGGTTAGTAAGCCTGGTTACCCACTGAACGAGAACTATAATCATGGCTTTTGTGGGTTATCTCACCATGGGTACTAACCAGTTGCTAAGTACCCGATCGAACCTTTAAGTGGCTTTGGTGGGTTGTAGCCATGATCACTTAGCGATTCGGGTTCCCCACTTACCTGACGTAATGTTGACCCCATATCAACCCCTGTTTATTAATCGGGGTTTGTCTCTGGGCTTAGTGGGCAACCATCACTTTTAAAAAGCCCCCACCCTGGTTGGTGGATGAACATCTCTTGGTTGACGTTGGAAGGGGGGCAACAATCTATTTTTAGCAGCTAAGTGGGAATCTCCCACTAAGCCACAATAAGCAAAAATGTAAAATGGTTCCCAACAAGAACCATGATCTGCGGTCAAGATTAATCATAACTAAACCTAAGGAACCAGATGGCTGGGAGCCACCAAGTAATGCTGACCCCATCTCGGTCCTCCAGTGGAGAGGTTAGAATACGGGTACCCTTTTCTCTGTCGTCTATTTTAGTAGGGGAACTCAAGGGCACCTAGCTGGGGGACCTAGCATTCTTAAGCAACTGGAAGTAAAGAACCGCAACATCTGAGATGTTTTTCATAGCCATGCGGAGAAGAGTAAAAGGGCACCTAGCTGGGGCGCCTAGGGGTAGTGTTGTTGAATGGATTAACTTAGGGTCTCCCTTCTGCAATTTTTTTTTCGGGTTGCTTTACCTAGCCAGGTGAATCATAGTAATTTACCCAGGTATACGTGAACACCCCTGCAAATGAACAAAAAGGGGCCCAAATGCCATGCTATAAACTTGGCTGGAATTAGAACCTCAGCAAATATATTTTTTTGCCTGGTTAGTGGAAAACAAAGGGAACCCCAAAAAAGAAAAAAAGAAAAAGGGCTAATTCTGGGGAAGTAAAGAGGGCTCTACTTTGATGGGCCCCCCTTTCAACTTCCACGTGAATTTACCGAGTCCATCAACCCAACGAACCACCGAACCCGGTGGTAGAAGCGTTGCGCGGCGCGGTTGCGCCGGCTGAGCTTCGCGCCTGGTCGAAGGGTGAGCGGATGCGCTGCAGGTGGCCGGCACCCAGCATCACCCCTGGCGAGTGGCTGTGGCTGTGGTTGGTGGTTTGTTTGTTTGCTTGCTTGCTTGTTTGTTTGTTTGTTTGTTTGTTTGATTGTTTGTTTGCTTGCTTGCTTGCTTGTTTGTTTGTTTGATTGTTTGTTTGTTTGTTTGTTTGTTTGCTTGCTTGCTTGCTTGTTTGTTTGTTTGCTTGCTTGCTTGCTTGTTTGTTTGTTTGATTGTTTGTTTGCTTGTTTGCTTGCTTGCTTGCTTGTTTGTTTGATTGATTGTTTGTTTGTTTGTTTGCTTGCTTGCTTGTTTGTTTGTTTGATTGTTTGTTTGATTGTGTGCTTGCTTGCTTGCTTGTTTGTTTGTTTGATTGTTTGTTTGTTTGTTTGCTTGCTTGCTTGTTTGTTTGTTTGATTGTTTGTTTGCTTGCTTGCTTGCTTGATTGTTTGTTTGTTTCTTTGCTAGGTCCTCGAGTAGAGCTCTCTCGTGGAAAAGTGGCTCATGGCACACAGACTCACACATTTGCCCGACAAGTAGAGCCTGGCGATCCAACCACATGGGCATCTATCAAAATAGGGGATCGACATGGATCGACTCCCCCGACATGGCTGGTTTGCCAAACCGTTTTTTTTTTTTTTTTGGTTTATTTTTTTTTCCGAGTTGAGGACACTTTCGGGGGTACCTTTTTGGCTCAAGAATGTTGAGGCTACCCTTTTGCTAGGTCCTCCAGTAGAGAGGTTAGAATAACGGGAATAACGGTACCCTTTTTTCTGTAGTCCATTTTAGTAGGGGAACCCTCCGCCCCAAAAAGGGGTGAAAAAGGGCACTACTGGGGGACCTAGTTTGGGTTTCTTTTGCCTTGCCTTCAACAAACAGCACCCCAAATCGCAGCCCAGTGCGGTACCGGAGCGCGCGGCGCGCGCCTGCTGGCAGGTCTGGCAACTCCAGCTGTGAGCGGTCCCTGCGGACCGAGAACCGAGGTTGACGAAGCTCACTTCTTCTCACTTGCCCAAAGGACCTGCAAATAAAAGCTGATCACCTTTGGGACCACTAAAAATAGACCAGAAAGGGAAAACCAAAAGGTCAAAAGGTCAATTCGCTTTGAAGAACTGAGTCTTTCTAGGGGTTGATTTCTCATTCTTTTCAACCATCGTTCTTTTCAAAAACCGGCTCCGTTTCCAACCTGGGTTTTGATGGTTTCCTGAAAAGAAGGATCCCTGGAAAGAATGGGGAAGGAACTGCCGGTTTCTGGGTTTTGCATGCTTGGCAAACCCGGGGCGACTCATTTCCCATCTGCCTCCCAAAATTTGGTGCCTTACAAAAAGCCCACACAAACATTTACTTGCTGGTGCTCAGCAATCATTAAAAAATGGAATGACCCGTATAAACCATCCCTTGTGGTTTCCGTTGGGGCGACCCCTGGGTTCCACATTCCCTGCTGAGCACCAGCAAGTGGCAGTTGTTCTTCAGCTTGCTTCTCCATCCATTGTGAGACTGCCAGTGAAGGGCTTTACAAAGGCGAGATCGGGTGGACCCTTCCATTTTGGATGGTCCCATCGTACTCCACATGAGTCTGCAAGTCATCTCCCATCGGTGCTGCTTGTCGAAGGCTAAATCTTCGCCCCGCCGCAAAAGTGTCGTCAACGCCTCAAAGAAGGGCCGTGAATTTGAAAGGGTCCGTGGACATCCGAATTCGGGGATTCATGTCCACCACCTGTGAGGTGGTTCCCCAGTACTAGAAAGTCACAGCCGTGTGGGCAGTAGGGGCTTATTGGTGCAGAATAGCTAACAAAATACACATCCCCTTCACTTGGATCTTGGGCAAATAATAAAATGATGGGCTGCATAGAACTTAGTTTGTGTCCACCCCCCTGAAACTGGCGTTGACTGGCCAGAACTGGGGGGCCTCTTGGAGCAGCCCCTATCGATCGAGCTCGTACCAGACGAAGATGTCTGGGAAAAGGTCCTCTACTGGAGGGACGCCCACTTTCATACATAACTCAGGGCCATTTGGTGGACATCACATGGATTTTTGTCCATCAACCATTTTGGAGGTGGTTCCCATTACGCTCACAGCCCTGTGTGAACCCTGTACTACACGTATTGTTGCTGCTCAACACGCGCCTAGATGCAGAGAACCCTACTGCAAAAAAGAAACCACGAAAGAGGAGCACTAAACATTCCCCGAATAGCTCCCAAAAACACATCTTCTGCTTCTGCTTTATATTTACTAGGTCCTCCTGTAGAGAGGATAGAATAAGGCCACCCTTCTTTTTGTAGTCTATTTTAGTAGGGGAACCGAATCTCCCCAAAAAAAGGAACGGTAAAAGAAACGGCACCTAGCTGGGGGACCTAGTCATATTTACGTCTACCCTAAAATCCTTCACCATCGCGGATTCCCACGGATTCCCGCGCCACCAAGGCTCCGCGGCGGCCATGCCGGCCGCTCCGGCGCCCAAGGGCAGGCGCAAACAGCAGAAGCCGCCTGCTCAAAGACTCGCCGTTTGTTGGTGTTCGCCCGGGGAAAAATGCGAAGCATATGTCCGGTGACAGATTCTGAAATCGACTCCCTTTTAAAACCAGTTTTTGTTTTAAACATGCTCAGCTCAGGAATGGAAGAAGAGCTTGAGGCCCATCTCTGACCAGACTCAGTGCAGGCCGTGGATCTGCGCAGGTGTCTTCTTTAGGGGAACTAATGCCGAAAGACGCTGTGCACAAGCCAGGCACAGCTATGGCCAGCCGCAAGGCAGCGCGCACCCCGCCACCCCCCCGTATGGATTCATATGATGAAACTTAAAAGGACGCCATTTTGCAGGTTCGTTTTGGAACTCGACTTAGAGGAAAGGAAAAACACAAAGCGAGGGTTGTAAGTTTATGGCCAGGGTGGGGTTGACCGTGCATTCATCTGCAAGTTCTAGAACAAATCGAAATCTGAAATACACCTTGACCCGCAAAGAACAAGTCAAGGACCTGCGCTCCTTCTCATCCCGGAACGAGTCGGCAGCTCGAAACTTATAGAGGCGGAGGAACCAACCGCCAAGAGCAAGAACCATCACCTCATTTTTTCCATGGGCCCCGGAGCCCAACGGAGATCAACGGATTGCAGCTAGACCCCCACCCTGGATTGCAGCGTTTCCCTCCGGAGGGGTAACTCGTCGCTGATTGCAAATAACGGCGGATAAGCAGAGGTTGCGTCCTGCCCCCCACCAAAGAAACAAGAAGAACTGCAGAAGAAGAGGTCCCTTAACCCACAACCACCAACAACCACAACCACCAACAACCAACAACAACCAAACACAACCCCAACTCCAACGACAACGACAACGACATCAACGACAACAACGACAACAACAACAACAACAACAACAACAACAACAACAACAACAACAACAACAACAACAACAAC